TGTTAACAGAGACTACCAGAGTAAAAGGTTAAGGGAAAGAGGTTTTAAAATTTTCATTTAGTCTTGGTTGGTGTGGCTCAGTCTTGGTCGGAGTATGGTCCAGTAAACCAAAAGGTCACAGGTTCAATTCCCAGTCAGGGCACATTGCCTGGGTTGCAGGTTCAGAACCAGTAGGAATGCATGCAAGAGGCAACCAATCAATGTTTCTCTCCCTCCCTTCCTCTCTAAGATCAATAAGTATGTCCTCCAGTGAGGATAAAAAAAATTTTTATTTCACTTTTTTATATGTGGAATTTGTACTATTTGTTTATATGTAGGTATTTATAGGCACAACTACTAGTGTTTGTTCACTATCAAATAGAAATGTCAAGCAGACAGTAGTTCTATAACTCAGAAGAGAAGCAAGTACCATACATGTGTGCATTTGTCAGCATAGATATTAATTTTGAAACCATGAAAAAAAAAACAGATGACTTAGGAAGAAATTTTAGAGCATACAAAAAGATGAAAATGTGAAGATATAGTTCAGAAGCCAAGAAAACACCAAAAATTTGGAGGCAGAAGAAATGAAAGTAATCAAAAAGACTTAGGAGTGTTCCAAGAGAAAGAAACAGGAGAGAATGGCAAAAACCAAAATGGATATATTAAAGAAAGTAAGTGGTCAGTACTATAAAAGACCTAACAAAGATCAAACACAATGTAGGTTCACTGTCCACTGAATTTGGACGTATGGACTGATGGTCCGTCCTCAGAGAGAAGTCTTCTCTTTTATAGTTTATAATGCCTTTCATAGTTTTCTCATTCCTCTAGAAGGCAAATCAGAAACACCTCACCAATTTTCAAATTATGCATCTGCACACCAACTATATCAATCCTATCCTCTATTATTGACAGATCACTGTTACTGATGGAAATGTTTAATTCCTTAGCAATATTGCAGGGGATGAGTAAGTGAACTACTGAATTAGGGACAAACTGAGGAAGACAAGCATCTAAAAGAAAATGGAACAGAGCACTTAAAGAATTAGAAATTTTTTAAGTATGGAATTCAAGTCACATGAGGAAAATATTTCAAAAAGAAGTCAAACCCTTTTAAAAGGTCAAGAATCAAAAAATGTCCGTTTGTCAAAAGTTTTAATTGAATCTATTGGGGCAACACTGGTCAATGAAACCATACAGATTACAAGTGTACAACTCTGTAACACATCATCTGCATACTGTATCAAGCAATCACTACCCAAAGTAAAGTCTCTTAACCACCACCATTTATCCCAGCTTTGCCTTCTTCTACTTCCCCCACCCCCACTTTCCTTTGGCAATCACCATACTGTCATTGTCTGTGTCTATGTGGCTTTTTTTTCCTTCTTAATCTAAACTTCACCTTTATCACCCACCCCCACAACCTTCCTCCCATCTGACAGCTGTCTGTCTGTTCTATGTATCTATGATTCAATTTCTATGTTGTTTGTTAGTTTATTTTTGTTCATTATATTCCACATACCAATGAAATCATATGGTTCTTGTCTTTCTCTGACTGGCTTATTTTACTTAGCATAATATTCTCCAGGTCCATCCACAGTGTCCCAAAAAATTTCCCTCTTTTTATGGCCAAATAGTATTCCATTGTGCCAATGTAACACAGCCTCTTTATCCACTCATCTACTGATGGGCACTTGGATTGCTTCTAGAGCTTGGCTATTGTAAATAACACTATCTCCATTTGATTTATCCACAAGGAAATCACTGCAGACCTGGGCAAAGCAATTTCAAACACATAGAATGAGTGTGACTGGGTCCTTGAGAAGACAGGAAGAAAATCCAGGGCATAAGAGGAGGGACTGTCCTTAGGAAGGAGCAGAGATTCACTTTTGTTGTAATTGGAAATATGAGAGGAAAAGGGAGAAAAGATAGCTGCAGGTTCAAGTTCAGCTTACAAGTTTAATAGAGAGAAATGAAGAAAGCTCACATCTGGTGGATTCTCTCTCTCTTTTTTAGGTATCAGTCATTTGTTAAACTTGAAGGAAGAATTTAAAAAGACTTAAATAACCACTGTGGAAGATGGGTAAGAAAATTAAACAGGAAAATTCAGAAGGCAGAACTGAGGAATAATTACCCTGCAAAGATCGATTACAGTTCCTAACATGTATCTTACTGAAATATTGGGTTGGCCAAAAAGTTCATTTAATTTTTTTCCATACGATGGCTCTCGTAGTGCTCTCTTTAACTTCACATGAAACTATTTTGTTAGACTGCATTGTGACAGCTGTCATATCAGCATGCATTTTTTTAAAATTATCAAAATTGGTGAATTTTTGTGCAACCATTTCAATATTGAAGATGGAAGAAGATATACAACATTTTCAGTGTGGTATGTTTTATGATTTCAAGAAAGGTAAAAACGCAACTGAAATGCAAAAACAATTTGTGCAGTGTATGGAGAAGGTGCTGTGACTGATGGAACATATCAGAGTGCTTTGCAAAGTTTCCTGGTACTCTTGACATTTTGGCCAAATAATTCTTTGATGTGGAGCTGTCTTATGCATTAGAAGATGTTTAGCAGTATCCTTGCCCCTCTATTCACTAGAAGCCAATAGTGGGAGATATCTGACATATTCAAAAGATCCAAGTCAATAAAGTTATTGGTGAAAATGAAAAATGTGTCCTTTATTTTACAGCAAAAACAAAACAGACTTTTTGGTCTGGTATACATACCTCTATTTACCAAATATATACCTATGTCTGGCATGTGTTGTTCCTTCCATTTCTTCTGGGAAGTTCTATTTATACTTCAAAACCAACTCTACCTAGATGGTTCTGACACTCCCCTAACCATTCCCAGTTATTATTCTCCTCTGTATCACTGTTTTACTTTGTACACAATTTTACTGCTACCCTTCCAACCCTCTATTACAGTGACTCTCTTTATAGCTCTACAAGACTATTTCCCCTACTGAATTGGTGAGCTACTTCAGAGTGGGAATTGCTCAGTATATCGGAACTCAAAACTTGGTTCAACTGAATTTAAATTAAGATACAAAGATGCATTAGAGAGAATCTAACCTGCAGAACCTAATAACATCTAGTTCAAAAACCACCACCAGTAGGTAGGTTTTGACTGAAGTATATAAACTGTAAGAAGGCTAGTAGTTAAGGGCAACAATAAAATATACAACAGTCAGAAAAAACAATTTATAACTGTCAGATGTAAGAAACATCCAAACCTGTAAGAATTTTTATGAATTTATTTGAGCCAAACTAACAATTACCAGACAGGAAAATATCAACACACTGAGAAGATGCTCCAGAGAATGACAGTTCTGCACCTGATTTATATATCATAATCAAAGGAGAAGACACAAAGTGTTTACGCAAAATTCCTTGGTGACAGATTAGAGAGGCGGGAGAATGCAAAGCAGGGAAATCTCAGACAGGATGAAGAGTAAAAGGCATAGACAAATACTTTACATTGGTGGGTATGGGATAGTTAAAAATTAACATTTATGACACATAGAGATGTTATGTGGGAAAACAATGATGAGTTCTCTGGTCTCAAGCTCTGGTGGGCGACTGTGCCCTGAGGGGTATGGCAATGGCAAACTGGATTAGTCTGACATTCCAAAGGTATGTTATCATGGATGCCAAAAGACAATAAACAGGCTCAGTTAAGGTTAAGATTGACCTCTGTCAAGAAAGATATCGGCCTAGGACTACCCACCATGACTCACTTTTAGTTAGGAAGTTTTAATTTCAGACCATCCATGTGGTTACTTTAGGTCTCTGAGTTTGTAACGTCGCTATGCAGGCCTCCCGAGTTTGTCAGTTTAGTGCGTGGCCCCTTTTTTTGTCTACAGAATCTTATTTCATTCGTTTTAAACCTACATGGTCTACAAATGTGCGCATATGTTTCTTACATTGATGTTTGATTTAAAAACCCTTATTTGTCCTGAGTGGTGTGACTCAGCTGGTTGAGTGTCAACAGCAAAGCGAAAGATCACCAGTTCAATTTCCAATCAGGGAACATGCCTAGGTTGCAAGTTAGCATAAGGGAAGCAACTAATGGATGTTTCTCTCCAGTACTGATGCTTCTCTCCCTCTCCCTCTCCCTCCCTCCCCCTCTCTCTAAAAGATAAGTAAAATTTAAGAACCCTTATTCTGTACCTACTACATGCAAGATAAAGATATTAACACTGTCGAATATAAAAAGTTTTACAATGCAGTAGAAAGATTAAATTATCAAATTATTTTAATACAAGGTAGAAAACATGTGACAATTTGGTAAGAAAATTAAGAACAGATGAGAAGGGTCTTAGAAATTTGAACTTTACTCTAAAGAATAAGAGATTTGGGATATGTTAACTGGAATAATACAATTTAATGTGCTTCTCAAATGTACTGTGTTTAGCTTATTTTCTACTACCTAGCATTTTTCTGTCTAAACTGTCAATAAATCTAACTGCTATATTCAACACATGTCCCAGGTTGAACGAATGCTCCAAACCCTCTCCCATGTATGGTTGTGGATAAACGCCTTTAAGGAAACAAACGGAACTGCAAGAATTGCCATCTGTGCAGTCTAAGGATTTAACAGAGGGGATGTTCCCAACTGTATTTAAAAATGAGGCCCTCTTTCATTAAGTGTCCGTCATCTGTTCTAGGTCTCACACTTCTCATGGGATGGGATGCTTCACCCTTCCTTTCATCAAGAACTGTGGCAACTGTCAGTGGCTGCCAACGCGAGTAACCGGATGCGAAGTCACAGGACTTCAGAGAAGCCCCAGGAGTGTGGAGGGTAGAGTTGAAAAGAGCAGCCATCAAAAATCAGGCGTCCCAAGAAACAAGGTAGTCGAGGCGGGCATCCAGATGCCAGGGGGCCGAGCAGAGGGGAGTGGTCACGTCCGGAAAACTTTCTGCAAAGTGACAGGTTGAGTCCACCACCTGGGCCCACGTGCGGCGCAGGACAGCCTTACAGCCCCACGATCCGACCCACCCCGACTCCTTACCGTCCTGCAAAAGCTCCCGGACTGTCAATGCAGCCGCCCGGGAGACCAGAGCCCCGTGGCCAACGAAAGCGACGCCTCCCTCGCCACCTTCCATGTTGGCAGGTACCAGAAGTGATGACGTTAGTGGCGGACAGCCCCTCCCATGTAGTGACGCAAAATCCCGGCGCCGCCCGTTCGCCCCGCCCACGGCTTCGGACCAATCTGGAGTACTGATTTGATAGGTAGCAGCTGGCAGGATTCTGGCCTAGAGCAGCGTTTGTCCCAGAGCAGGCGGGCGCCGAGGGTTTAGCCAACCCGGGAATCCGAAGCCGTGGGGCCGTCGCTTTCTGCCGTCTCTCGCCGCTCCACTGGGGCTTGAGTGATTCCAGGGCCGAAAAGGTGGACACCGGAACGTGGCCGCAGCAGTTATCGCTAAAGCAAGTATTTATCCTAAGAACAGGGGCTTCTTGGAGACCAGAGAAGAAGGAGAGGGTTTGTGGGTGTTTCGCTTGCGTTCCACGGGCCCAGCTGGCAGGAGTTAGTAGTTATCCAACTTCCTCTGTCCCATGCCTTTGATTCTCAATTCTGGGGTAAAGGCTGGCGGGAAACGATCTGGAAGAAAGTTCCCGGGGATGAATAGTGAGAATTAGGGAGAGCCGAAAGTCAATGAAGAATGAAGTTGTAGACTCAGCATCCAGATGCTACAGTGGGAATGTAGACTCAGCCTCTGTCCTCTCTCCCATGAGATCAGGACCTGCTTTTTTACTTCATGTACGTTTCAGCCACGTGCTGTGAATAATGCCATACTTCATATTACAAACTGATGGATTTTTCCGTATCTTAACTAACAGTACTTTAGCTGTAAAATCAAGTTCTCATCGTCGTCTCCTCTGCTACATCTGCATTATTCATTAACCTAGATTTCTCCCAAGCTAAATGCTAAATAATTAACAGGTCAGTCACGTATGCAAGAAGGTTAATTTAAGCATTTCTTCATAAGAAGAAAGCAATACAACCTTTCCTTTACGTACCCAGGGATCCCAATTCAGAGCTATGTGGTTCTCTTGATTCTGCTAAGTGTTTCAGAAAGTGCAGTAATGGTATTTACCCTGTGCTAAATGCTTTTCTAAGTACTTTATAAATGCATTTAATACTTAAAACAGCTCAAGTGACCAACTCTCATGATACACTACATTATGCTTTTTGTTTGTCTCAGGTTTCTCCCTAATATAATTTGGTCTCAATCATGGTATGAATAGGATTGAGGGTTCGGAATGGAGGTCACACAAATTGAGGTTACACAATTGCCAAGAGCAGTGTGCTCAGACTCAGGTTTCACTATCCGTAATACATAAAATTTTAAATCATTCTTCAATGTTAATAAGCAGTATCTTTGAAATATGAAATTTATTTTTCTTTGGCATTTACATTGAAAATTTTTAAAAAACTTACATAGTATTTACTCATTCAATGAAGAATTTTGAACCCCTATACCTACCAACATGAGTTTACAAACATAAGTCTCAATCCATATCCTATCCCAAAGGAGCTAATAGGTAAGGGAGAGACATTTAACTATGCAATTGAAGCAGGTGCTTTGTAGTGTATGGATTTATTTTCCCCTATGCTTGGTTGCACATTGAAATAACCTAGACAGCTCTAAAAGTCACTGATGCTGGCGTCCTAAGCCCAAAGATAAACATTTAATTGGTCAGGAATATGGGTGAGGCATCCTGATTCTTAAAAGCTCCCCATATTGTGCTCATTTACAAGTTGAGAGCTACTGATTTATGAATTTATTAAGCAAAATTACAAGAGTGAATATGAATAAAATTGTTTCTGCAAAAGTCACTAATGACCTAGTTGTCATTGCACACTTTTTAGTCTTAACTCTTCTGTGATGTTTAAGATGCTTATCCCCTCCCTCCTTCGTAATACCCTCCCCTCTCTTGGTTTTCAAATATGTCTTCAGGTTTCTTCTTCCCAGCTCCAGAGGTCATCTACATCTCCTTTGCATTCTTTTTCTCTTTTACTTAAAATTTGGTGTTTTGAAGGATCTCTTGCAAGGCAAGGCATCCTTAAGTGTCATCTGTGTTTGTAGATTCAATTATCTAAAGGTTAAAGACTCAATTTATATCTTTACCTTGTTCCTGAGCACTATATCTATATGACCAATTATGAAGCATCACCATCTGAAAATCTATCCCATGAGCACCTCAAGTTCATTGTGCTCAAATGTGAACTCATGTTTCCCTGCCAAAATCTGTTTCTCCTTCTGGTTCTTTATCTCATTGATTCAAATTGCCATCCATCCAGAATTCTTTCTTCTTGTATAACGTGCACTGTCATAAAGTGGTTTCCACCTTCTAAATATTTTGCCACTTTATTGTTGTTTCTAAATAGCTCCTAAATTTGTTGTCTTTTCTATATTCTCCCAGAGTCCCAGATCAGACACTTATGCATGGCCTGATCTACTACTATAATGGCCTCCTTACTGATATTTTGCCAACATACCTACACCTTCCAGTGAAGTCTTTCTAAATCAGAAATCTGATCTTGTCATTTCCCTGCTAAAAATTTTCAGTTACAACTAGTAACAAGGAGAGACAGCTTGTATAAAAATATGTGGTGCATGCATGGAAATGGGTTACATGCATATGTTAGCATGTCGAGTACTTATGTAAAAATCTCCCATGGAGAAGAAAACCTGGTTAAGAACCAAGGGCCTACCTCAGCGATTTTCAACCAGAGTGCCAGAAGAATTTTAAGAACATGTGATGCCTGACTATTTAGTCAGGGGCACTGACATTGTCAAATTTAAAAAAAAAAAAAAGTGGGCCCTGGCTAGCATAGCTCAGTGGATTGAGTGCGGCCTGCGAAACCACAGTGTCGCAGGTTCGATTCCCAGTCAGGGTACATGCCTGGGTTGCAGGCCATGACCCCCAGCAACCGCACATTGATGTTTCTCTCTCTCTCTCTCTCTCTCTCTATCTCTCTATCTCCCTCCCTTCCCTCTCTAAAAATAAATAAATAAAATCTTTAAAAAAAGAAGTGACAATAGCCAACGCAACAATAGCTATCTGGTATAAATGAATTGAAATTATACCTATTCTTCTTTGTCAGATCAGCAAAAAATACAGTCAAACCTCACTTTTAGGTCTTGAACGTTTCTAGTCCCGAGCATTCTCAAGTTCTCAAATAGCATTACAAAATAAATTAAGTTCAGGAACGGAAGTTCCACTGTTTTGGGGTTTTCTTTTCCTTTGGTGCACTGCAAGATTTTAATAATTCATGTATGACATGAGATGAAAAAGGTTGAAAATCAGTGCCCTGCATTGTATAATCTAAAACACTCAACCTGGTATATAAGGTCCGTTACTATCTAGGCCCTCTTACTCTCTAGTTCATTTAGAACTCAAACAACACTAAACCACTAATGGTTCATTGAAAACATCAAGCACTTTCAAGCATCTGGTCTTATGTGTGTTGTTGTCTGTGTCTGGACACTTCCCCCAACTCCCACATAGTTACAGCTCAAGCTTTCCTTCCTGTGTTGATGACTTCCTCACTTCTCTAGACAATTACACAGTGGTTAAATTGTGAATGTGTGCCTGTGTGTTTCTGAGCTATTGTTTTGTGTATTCTAATATGTTTTTAAGGACATAGGAAATGTATTTTCATCTGTATTTCCAACATCTACCAGGAACTTAGTATTTGTTGAATGAGTAAATACACGCCCATGCCCTCAAAAAACTCATGAAGAGATAGATAGGTGTTATTATACTCTATAAAAATAATTGTAAATACACATGATGACATTACAGAGTAATGGGTGTAGTGGGTAAATAAGATCAACTCTGGGGTTAAAAAAAGACTCTCAGGAGGGGGGATTATGAGTATATACAGAGAAGGGGAATGAAGATGTGCTTAACAATTAAAGGTACCACTTGGTTAACACACTTGTGGGAGCTAGAGAAGGAGAGAAAACCCTCGATTTCTGACTTGAGTGAGTAGGGGTAGACAGTGATGGTATAACCAAGATATGAAATGCAAGAGAGAAGAAACAGGTTTGACTCATGAAAAGAACTATTTTGTTATTTATACTTTATATATGTTGCTTATATCATTCTAATGAATCTTTATTATAAAAAAAGATAATAAAGGTCAAGATGGTAGCATAGGTAAGTGTGGTACTCGCCTCCTCCCACAACCACATCAAAATACCACTAAACTGCAAAACAACCATCATTAAGGACTGCCTAAAATCCAGCTGAATGGAAGTCCTATAAATAGTGAATTAAAGAACAAGCCACATCAAGACTGATAGGAGGAATGGAGATATGCACAGACTGGCCACACACCCATGTGTGGCAGATGAAAATTAGGAGGGATATTGGCTACAGAGCTACTCCAAGGAGTGAGAGGTCCCAGCTCGACATCAGGCCCCCCAGCCCAAGGTTTCGGTGCCAGAAAGAGAAGTCCCCATAACTTCTGGCTGTAAAAACCAGTGGGGATGGAGGCTGAGGGAGACAGAGGGACATTAGAGTCCCGGGCAGTTCGTTTTAAAGGGTCCATGCACAGACTTACTCAAAATGACTCCATATGAGCTCCAGCCCTGGGCAACAATTTGAAAGGCACCAGACACATACAGAGAGGAAATCAGTTACCTGGCATCAGGGCAAAAACTGGGTGCACGGAAGCAGCCATCTCCCAAACAGAAGTGCTAGCAGAAGCCATTGTTCCTTTGATGAGCCCTCCCCCACACAAAACCAGCAGGCAGCCATATCTGAGGTTCCATCAACCTGGCTAACACTGTTTGCCCCACACTGGTGATTCCCCAAGGGCCCACCCCACCCAGCTTTCAGACTGACCCAAGCTGTTTCCAGTGGTTTTTTCACGCAAATAGCCTGTCTTGGCTCAGCCTGCAGACTTAACTAAAATCTCTCAGACAAGCAGCATCTGGCCTCAGTGTGCCCTATACCTCTTGCTAAGTGGCCCCAGGCTTGGCACTAGTAGCAGCCAGCCTTATGGTTTGCAGCTTGGCCTCACCTATGCACCTCCAAGCTCAGCACAAGTGGCAGCCTTTTGCAGATCTCTTTGCAGCTAATGCTGGCTGGCCCTGGCCAAAACACAGATGGCAACTGAGCTTGGCCTACACCTTCTTGGAGGCCCAGAGCCAATGCACCAGTGGACAGCTTCAGATCACTTGAAGCACCACCACCCAACCACCTGCACAAGTGACACACTCAAGGGATGGACTCAGCAAGCACGAGAGCACCACTGAAGTTAAGTCCTGCTCTGTGGAGTGGGCCCCTGCACAGCTGATCCTCCCTAGTATTTGCAGGTCAGTGTTTGGTGGTTGCAGGCAGTTCCTCTTGCAGCCCACCTACCTGGGGATAAATCTTTCCCACTGATTGCCAACAACAATCAAGGCTTAACTGCAACAGGAGGGTGTACGCAGCCCACGGGGTGCACCTTGAGTTCTTGTGTGATTAGGAAGGCTATGTCACTAAACCCCACACCCACTACATTAGGCCACCCTACCAAGCCTGGGAAACAGTTCTACCTAATATATGGAAATGAATACAGGGAGGCAGCCAAAATGAAGGGACAAAGAACAGAACAGAACAAAACTCAAAGAATTAAACAGAATGGAAACAAACAATTTACATGATGCAGAGTTTTAAATACTGGTTATAAGAATGCTCAAGGAACGTAATGAGAACATCAACAGCATAAAAAAAGGACCAGTCAGAAATGAAGGATACACTTAACTGAAATGAAGACTAATTTACAGGGAATCAACAGTAGAGTAGATAAAGCCAAGGATCAAATCAGTGATTTGGAATATAAGGAAGCAAAAAATACCTAATCAGAACAGCAGAAAGAAAAAAGAATCTTCCCCCAAAATAAGGATAATGTAAGGAGCCTCTAGGACAGCTTCAAGCATACCAACATTTGTATCATGGGTGTGCCAGAAAAAGAGACAGCAAGAAACTGAAACCCTATCTGAAAAAAATAATGCTAGAAAACTTCCCTAACCTGGTGAAGGAAAGAAACATGCAAGTCCCAGAAGCACAAAGAATCCCAAACAAGGTGAACTCAAAGAGGCCCACAATAAGACATAATTACAATGCCAAAGGTTAAAGACAAAGAGAGAATCTTAAAAGCAGCAGGAGAAAAGCACTTAATTATCTACAGCGGAGCTCCCATAAAACTCAGCTGATGTCTGGACAGAAACTTTGCAGGCCAGAAAGGACTGGCAAGAAGCAGTCAAAGGGATGAAAAACAAGGACCTACAATCAAGATTACTCTACCCAGCAAAGCTGTCATTTAGAATCAAAGGAAAGATAAAGAGCTTCCCAGACAAGAAAAAACTACAGGAGTTCATTGCCACCAAACCAGTATTATATGAAACGTTCTTTAAAAAGAAAAAAAAAAATCAAATATTTGAACAGTAAAATGGCAATAAATACATATCTATCAACAGTTGAATCTAAAAAACAAAATAGCCCTGGCCAGGTGGCTCTGTTGGTTGGAGCATTGTCTCCTACACCAAAAAGTTGCAGGTTTGATCCCTGGTTGAGACACATGCGGGAGGCAACCGATTGATAATTCTTTCAAATCAATGTTCTGTTTCTTTCTCTCTCCCCCTAACTCCCTCCCTCCCTCCCTCCCTCTCTCTACCCTTCCTCTCTCTCAAATCTATTAAAAATAAGAAGAAATTAAAATAAAAAACAAGTGGAATAGTAACAGACTCATAGATAGAACATTTTGATGGTTGCCAGATAGGAGGGGTTAGGGGAGATGTGTGAAAAAGTGAAAGGATTAAGAAGTACAAATTGGTTGTCACAGAGTACTCATGGGGCTGGAAAGTACAGCACAGGGAATATAGTCAATAAAATTCTAATAACTATTGATGGTGTCAGATGGGTACAAGATTTATCAGGATATTCACTTAGTTATGTAATGTCTAGTCACTGGGATGTAAACCTGAAACTAATATGATAATGTATATCAACTGTAATTGAAATATAAAAGGTAATTTTTAAAAAGAGAGTGAAAAGATGCTAATAACTTTGTCCAAATTTTTATTAAGTTGGGCTTTTTGAACAGTGATTAGTAAAGCTAGTTTATCATATTCTAACTGTACATTCCACCTAAGAAAATTAAAGTAATTAGTTTATATTTAGGTTATATCTGTACTTTCAGGATTAGCTAAATAAAACTTGCATGTTCATCAAGTCAACCTTTCTAAAGTTGGCCATATCTGTTTCTAAGTTACTAAGGCCAAAAACTGAAATATGAAAAGAAGCTGACACTATGAAGTTAAAAGATTTTAAGTGTAGTAGCAACTGTAAAATACTACTAACTGCCTAATTTAATCATTTGTACCTCTTTGGGCAGAAAAGTAATTTACCAGGCAATTATATATTTTTCATGAAATTTTGACTAGACAATACTACATTTAAATTTTTAAGAATAAGGGTTTTTTTTTTCTTTTGCCTTGTGATTTAGGTACAAGGAATAGAATTTGAGAATAAGAATAAACATTAAACATACTGGTCTATCTTTTGAAATGCTAACTACTTAAAGTTGTTCAATTAATGCCATTTAAATTTCCTGGATAAAATAAGGTATTTCAAAGTGTCGGGAATACATTTACAATATATGAAATGATACCAATCAAATTTCCTGGTTTATCATTGCCAAAATTTTAAATTAAAAAATAACATGAAAAGTTATGATAGGGTATACTATGAAAGAAATCTTGTAGTTTTCCACTTCTTGGTCATTTACTAATTTGAGCAGAATATGTTACTATAATGAGTTAAGTATATAATTTGAAACAGTGTTTGATATGAACAAGAATAATCTGTACAGAACATAAACATAATTTCCCATTGTGCTAAAAACTATCAGTGACTTGTGGAGGCAGAATTTTGCGGTATCACATTTGATACTGTGAAAAGAAGTTAAGAAGATTTCTGATCCTGCCCTGGCCCTTGTGGCTCCATTGGAACATCATCCTATACACCAAAAGGTTGTAGGTTCAATTTCCAGTCAGGGCACATACCTAGGTTGTGGGTATGGAAGACAACTCATCAATCAATGTTTCTCACAATAATGTTGCCCACCTCTACCTCTCTCTCTCCCTCCCTCCCTCTCTGCCTCCCTTCCTTCCTTCCTCACTCTCTTCCTTTCTCTCTTCCTTGCACTCTCTCTCTAAAAGCAATGAAAATGAAAAAATATCCTCAGTCCCTGACTCATGTGGCTAAATTGGTTGGGCATCAATCCACAAAATGAAACGTTGCCAGTTCAATTCCTGGTCAGGCACATGCTGGTTGCAGGTTTGTCCCCAGTAGGGCACATATGAGTGGCAGCCAGTCAGTGTTTCTCTCTCATCTATGTTTCTTTCCCTCTCTTTCTCCCTTCCCCTCTTTATAAAGATAAATAAATAAAATCTTTAAGAAAACAAAAAGGATTTTAAAAATGTTCTCAGGTGAAGATAAAAAAGGAAAGCTTTCCGATCCCACAGGCCTAATGAAAAATGTATGGAATTGTTAGAATGATAGGAATTCATGTAATGGAAAGTAACTTTTCTCTATGTAAACTGATTGATTTTTTTTTTTTTTCAGATTTGAAACAAACCTGTGTCTATGAAGAATGACTGTGTACAAACCACAGTATGTCAAGAAAGAAAAAAAGACCCAATAGAAATGTTTCATTCTGGGCAGCTGGTAAAAGTCTCTGCCCCAATGGTTCGATATTCAAAGTAAGTATTGTTAAATGGTGATTTCCTTTTTATGCTCTGGCGTCTTACCACATAGCATCTTCAAACACTGAGCTTTGGGATCTGTACTGGCTTGGGCCACTTGCCAAGTATATATGTGGCACTGAGTAAATAATTAACCTCTCCAAGCTTAATTTTTAGATCTATAAAAATGGTAGTGCTTACAGCTCCCACCTATAAAGATATGATGGATGTTAAATAAATATGAACATTCATGCACAGGTTTCTGTGTGAGCATAAGTCTTCATTTAATCTAGGACTGTTCCCCAGGATTGCAATTGCTGGGTCATATGGTAGTTATATATGTTTACTTTTTTAAGAAACTGCTGGACTTTTCTAGGGTGGCTGCACTGTTTTATGCTCCAACCAACAATATATGAGGGATCTGGTTTCCTCTCCTCCTGCTCACCAACTTTTCATAATGTCATTGTTTGTATTTTAGCACCGCTGATAGGTTTGCAGTAATATTTCATGGTTTTTTGATTCCTACTTCCTGTGTGTCTAGTGACATTGAACATCTTTTCATGTTCTTCTTTGCCATCTGTGTATTATTGAAGAAATATTTCTTTATGTCTTTTGCTAATATTCTAATTGTTTGCTTTTTTATTATTGAGTTGGTTTTTTAATTTTTTTAATTGTGGTAAGATACATGTAACTTAAAATTTACTGTTTTAAACATTAAGTCTATGATTCAGTACTGTGAAGTACATTCATACTGTTTTGCATCTAATCACTTTTCATCTTATAAAACTGCACTTCTATACCCATTAAACAGTAACCCCACCCCCCCCCCCCGCCCATTCCCTATTGCCCCAGCTTCTGGCAACCTCCACTTTCTCCCTCTATGAATTTGACTTGTCTATATATAAAACTTCATAGAGGTAGAATTATATCACATTTGTTTTTTTGAGACTAGCTTATTTCACTTAGCATAGTATCTTCAAGGTTCATCTATGTCTTAGCATGCATCAGAATTTCCTCTTTAAGGCTGAATGATATTTCATTGTATGTATATGCCACATTTTGTTTATTCATTTATTAATGAACACTTGGGTTACCATAGTTTGGGCAAAAGCCAAACTATAGTAAAAGTTTGCTGCTATCAATATGGATGTATAAATACTTCTTTGAGACCCTGTTTTTAATTCTTCAGGGTATTTGCCCAGAAGTGGAATTGCTGGGTCATATGGAAATTTTATTTTTAGGTTTAGAAGAAACTCCATATTGTTTTTCATAGTGGCTGTACCATTTTGGATTCCCACTTGCAGTGCACAGGAGTCTGATGTATCACCAGTGTTTTGTTTTTCTTTTTGTTTTAATGATACTCATCCTAATGGATATGAAGTGGTATTTCACTGTAGTATCAGCTGTGGGACCTTTCATGGGTGCTCTTTATCAAGTTAAGAAAGATCCCTCCTATTCCTGTTTTCCTGCATTTTTTTTATCATGAATGAGTTCATGATAAAATGAGTTCATGAATGAGTTCTTCAAATGTTTTTTCTGCATCAATTGATGGTTTTTTTCTTTAGCCTGTTGATATAGTGGATTACATTGATTCTGAGTATTGAATCAATGAGTATTGATTTAAAAACAGTATCTGTTTTTATTTTTTTTCTGACACCACTACAGCAGGGGAAATATAAGGTACTACTTCATCACAATCCGGTGGAGGAAGAAACCCAGTTCCCACACTTGGCCTACTTTCACAGTCTGAGGGCAGGGGTCTCCTTATTACTGTGGAGCAGGGGTGAGAGTTCCACCTCCCCATGGAATGGGTGGCCTGGTAACTAGCAATAATGAAGTGCTGGCTCTTCACCATGCACACTCTGATACTACTCCTAGTGTGGGGAGAAGGGTGCCTCACTGCTGCTGGGTCGGTGTGGGAATCCAGGCTCCCCTTGAAGTCTCCACTGATGCCCCCAAGGGACACATCATTACTTGCAAGCAGAGATTAAAGTCCTAACTGCCTTCCTGGCCTTTTCTGATACTGCCTTGGAGGGGTGTTAGAGAACATTGTTACAGCCTTGGAATGGTAGAAATCTAGGCTCCCTGCAACCTTTGTGGAGGTGGAACCATAACTTTTCTTTCTCCTGAGTGTTTGGTTATAGTAGAGCTGCTATTTAAAGTTTTCTGTTTTGTTAGGCTGCCCCTTCCCTGACTGTTGGTTAGAGAGAGCAAACTTTTGTTGGGGCTGTTTTGTCTGTACCCATTGCTGGCTTCTTGAGCCCCAGGTCTGGGTTCTTTGAGGCAAAAAGAAAACCCAGGGAAGTCACAATTTTTATTCCTCAGGTCCCAAGGTCACTGTCTTACTCTCTTCTCTCCACCTTTCAGAGTTTTCTTATCTTCATTTTACATATAACATACAGGATTTTTAGTTACACTAAGCACAAAGTACAGGGAAAAGTATATCTCCATCTTCCCATGGGCAGAACTTTTCTCTAATAAATATTTAATAATTAACTGAATTAAACTTGGAAGTACATATGATTGTGGTGATTTCTAAATGCCTAATTAAAATCTTACCTATTTACAGGTTGGCTTTTAGAACACTAGTCAGAAAGTACAGTTGTGATCTGTGCTATACACCAATGATAGTTGCTGCTGATTTTGTCAGATCTGTAAAAGCCAGAGACAATGAATTTACCACAAACCAAGGTATGTGAAACTCAGAGTTTGCTGACTTGATAGAATTTAAAAAGGAAAAAGACTCAACCATCTTGTCTAATCAGAGACAACAAATTCCGAGATTTTAAAGTATTTTAGTTTTTTTGTGTGTTTAATATAAGTCTGTTTTTAAGTATATTTTTGCTGAGTGTCTTCAAACTTTGGATGGCATACAAAGTGTAAGGTTAGCCTTCCCTGTGGCCCCCTTCTCACCCGGACTGTTCGATTAGATTCCTATCGCAGTGCCCCCAGTCTTCTCTCATTGCAGACTATCCCCCAAACAGCCCAAAGTGACCTTTCTAACACGTAAATTTGATCACGTCTCTTAGATCTCTCATTGCCTAAAGCAGTGATTCTTAAAATGAGCTCCCGACCAGGAGCATCAGCATCATATGGAAATTTGTGAGAACTGGAAATTCCCAGGCTCTACTTTGGGCCTACTGAATCAGAAACTCTGGGTATGTGGTCCAGCCATCTGTTTTAAAATGCCCTCCAGATGATTCTAAGTTTGCTAAAGATTGAGAACCACTGACCTAAAGAGTAAAATTCCAGCACTTGTGAATAATATATAACATTATTCATGATCTGGTCCTAAATACATCTGCAGCTTTATCTTTCATTAGTTTTTCTCCATAGCCCACTGACTTTATTATTCACAAATACTAAGTTATTTAAAGTCCTTGAACATGCCCTATTCATACTTCTCTACCTAGAACATCCTTCTCAGTCATGCCAATCCCCTATGTCCCCGTTTCTCTGCCAAATGACCGTTAACGCTTCTTAATCCAGCTCTCGAATTTTGTGGCCAACATAATTTCCTAATCACCCTCCACTCATGGCCTTTCTTTGATGCACAGGCTTTATGTTGTGCTGAATCCTGCTGTGTTATAATTTCCTGTTTAAATAACTCTCTCCTGCTAGACTATGGACTCTTGAAACCTGGAACTCTTTCTTACTGACTTGTATCCTCCACTTCTAGCACGGTGTTGAAAATATATTAGACCCATAAATGAATGTAACTCTCTTGAGTTGCAAAGGAAAACACACCCTACATCCTCAGGAGAAAGCAAATTCTCTGATCCTGTGATGATACTATAAATGGTGGAACCAGGGTGATGTCCAGAAATCTGCATTTTGGCAAACCATAAATCTCATACAGGTAGTTATCAAAAAGTCTTTAGAAAAATTAAAATACATCTATTTGGAGTTTATAACACTAACCCAAGGATGAGAAAAATTGTCCTTAATATCTAGGAAAGTCCTGATATATTTAGCTATATTAAAATTTAAACTTTTATATGTAAGAAAAGAGCACAAATATACTCAAAGACAAACTAAAACTGGGGAACTATTTTTAATATTTTTATGCTTCAGATGGAGCTAATTTCATTGCTTTATTAAAAAATAAATAAGAAAATAAGGAACTAAAAGAAAAATTGTGCATAGAAAAATGTTCAAAGAATATGGAGGCTCCAACATCAAAATGTTAGATGTTCATTCAACAGTTACAGGCCTAGGAGTTTACCCAATGAATATACTCACAGCAGGTGTGTGAGAGCATCCTCACCACAGTGTTTGCAAGGGCCACAAATGCAAAACTAGAAGTACGCTGTGGGGTCCATCTACACACATTGGAATATGCCACTAAAATAAGAAAATAAGTCTCCCAGATACATCAGATTTAAAAGAAAGCAGTAGACATAGCAATGTACATAGAAAGTACACATTTGTTTAAATATTACGAGTATACATAAAATTGTTCTGGAATACAATAACTAGTTCTCACCATTGGAAAAGGGGTCTGTCAACACTGTTGTACTTTTCATTTTATAAAACTTTATACTGGACTTCCAGCAAGATGGAGGCATAGGTGGACGCACCGTACCTCCACGCACAACCAAGATTAGAACAACAACAATTTAGAGCCAGAGTAACACCCAGAACTGATAGAGAATTTATCTGAATGGAAGTCAGACAGCCAAGAAGTTGAAGTAGACCCGTTCATCTAGACCCGTGTGAGGGGCAGAGAGGAGGAGCTGGGTGGGTGTGGGTCAGCGGCGCGCAGAGGTTGGGGAGAACTCGGCGCGAACTCGGCACGTAAGCTATCCGGGGCGCACAAGAACGAAGCGGTGGACCCTGAGTACACAAGCAGCAGCTGGCGGACCCAGTGAGGCGGCAATTGTGCACCAGGGCAGAGCTCGCAGCCCAGGACCCCAGAGAAGGGACTGAGATCCCAGGAGAACGGAACTACTGTCATTGTTGCCTCCCGCCCCTGCACCCGTCCCCACATACAACGTCATAATCTAGCGACTGGAGTGCCTAGCCCCGGTGAACACCTAAATCTCCGCCCCTCACCGTAACCAGCACAACCAGATCGAAGGAAAAAAAAAAGGATAAACAGGGAGAGACATGTCTCCAACAGAAGAACAGATCAGTCCCCCAGGACTCATCCTTTTGAGCAACCAAGAAATAGCCAATCTATCAGATGCACAGTTCAAAACACTGGTGATCAGAAAGCTCATGGAATTGGTTGATTTTGGGCGCAAATTAGATGAAAAGATGCAGGTTACCATAAAAGAGATGAAGGAAGATACACGGAGGAGAGCCAATAGTGAAGGGCAGGAAACTGGGTCTCAAAACAATACAGTGGACCAGAAGGAAGATAGAATCAACCAAGCAGGAAAGCATGATGAAATAAGAATTCAAAAAAAACAAGGAGAAGCTTAAGAGCATCCAGGACATCTTTAAACGTTTCAACATCCAAATTATAGGGGTACCAGAAGGGGAAGGGATTGAGCAACAGATTGAGCACGTATTTGAACAAATAATAAAGGAGAACTTCCCCATTCTGGCAAAGGAAATAGTCTTCCAAGAAATCCAGGAAGCTCAGAGAGCTCCAAAGAAGTTGGACCCAAGAAGGAACACACCAAGGCACATAATTACATTATCCACGGTAAAAATGAAGGAGAGAATCCTAGAAGCAGCAAGAGATAAGGGGACAGTCACCTACAAAGGAGTTCCCATCAGACTGTCAGCTGATTTCTCCAAAGAGACCTTACAGGCAAGAAGGGGCTAGAAAGAAATATTCCAAGTCATGAAAGACAAGGACCTACATCCCAGATTACTCTATCCAGCAAAGCTCTCATTTAGAATGGAAGGGCAGATAAAGTGCTTCTCAGATAAGGTCAAGTTAAAGGAGTTCATCATCACCAAGCCCTTATTTTATGAAATGCTAAAGGGACTTATCTAAGAAAAGAAGATAAAGAAAAAACATGTATAGTAAAAGGACAGCAAACTCACAATTATTAACAACCACACCTAAAGCAAAACCAAAAGAAACTAAGCCAACAACTAGAACAGGAACAGAACCACAGAAATGGAGGTCACATGGAGGGTTAGCAACAGGGGAGTGGGAAGAGGAGAGAGGGGGAAAGGTACAGAGAACAAGTAGCATAGATTGTAGGTTGAAAATAGATAGGGGGAGGGTAAGAATAGTATGGGACATGTAGAAGCTAAAGAACTCATAAGAATTGCACATGGAAGTGAACTAAAGTGGGGGGGGACGTGGGTGGGAGAGGGGGTACAGGGTGGAGGGGAGGGAAGGGGGGAAAAGGGACAACTGTAATAGCATAATCAATAAAATATATTTAAAAAACTTTATACTGTTGAATTTGTACTAAATGTAAATTTTTTAATTTAAAATATTTAAAGTTATTTTAATACTATCTTGTTTCAACAGATATACTCCTTAAGCTAAAAAAGTTATTTTATATTGTACAAACACTAGAGTTTAGTACCTCGTGTGTGCATGTGTTTCTGTGAATTTTAATGTTGAACTATTTGTTTTACCAGGTGACTGCCCACTGATTGTTCAGTTTGCTGCTAATGATGCGAAACTTTTATCTGATGCTGCTCGTATAGTTGGTCCTTATGCAAATGGAATAGACATTAACTGTGGTTGCCCTCAGAGGTAAAGCTCAAAGAAGTTGGAAGAATTTTCTTTTTTTTTTTTAAAGATTTTTTATTTATTTATTTTTAGAGAGGGAAAAGGGAGATAGAGAGAGAAACATCAATGTGCAGTTGCTGGGGGTTATGGCCTGCAACCCAGGCATGTACCCTGGCTGGGAATCGAACCTGGGACACTTTGGTTCCCAGCCCATGCTCAATCGACTGAGCTACGCCAGCCAGGGCTTTTTTTTCCCAAAAAAAGATTAGGAAAAAAAAACTATGTGGAAATGGTAAACTACCTTTCCAGTTTTCCAAGAACTAAAACATAAGGAAAATAGAGTTAAAGTTCTTGGGCTCTAAATAAAAAGCAAGAAAGAATAAAGAAAGATCATTTAGGAACTTACATGCTGTGGTAGGTTCTGATAGCGCAACAATGTGTAGACTCTTGACAACTGTTTTAGCTTACCTCACTGCTAGAACTGTTTTAATCTGTGGATCTGTCTTGAACCTCATCCATAAGTACTTACTGAGATGCTGATGTTTATAGTAATTTCTAAAAGGTGTTTTTACTGCTATGTCAGATATACTTGGTTTAAAGACTATGATTCTGTGATTTGGGAACTCACCATTTATTTTCTCCTAATTAATTTTTTATAAAAATAACTTCTTGTAATAAACTTTTTTCCTATACCACAGTTATTTGGTTGATTTTAAATAATTAGGTATTGATAGATGTACTTAATTTGACAATAATATCCCTATGTTTCTGACATTGTACTAAATTATCTGGCAGTAATTCAAAATGTGTCCAAATAATAAAATCAAGGTTTTAAGTAGGGCATAATCCAAATTAGATTAGACATATTTGTATACTCATTAGGAGAGTTAAATGAGCTGTTTACTGGTGTTGGAATGCTGTAAGCCAAAATTTTCTCTCTACTGTTAAGACTAATAAAACCTCTTGTTACGTACAATAAACATCAAATTTGAAATTTAAAAAATCTGAAATAATTGCAGTTAATTACAAATACTTAAATCTGTTTTGGTTGAGTGAATGCTAATTTAATTTTCTCACTTGCCAATGAAAACCATTTCCCCTAAGTACTTTTTGGTCTGGGAATGTGTTTACCTAAAGTTGATCCACTTAGAAATGTTGGGTTTATGAATTGTAAAAAACTGATTCCATTCCATATTGCTACATAGAGAAATAGATGCATTTACAGTGCCTTTAGTATTATATCTTCTCTTCAACTCTGTACAATTTATTTGTTGTATTGGCTTTATAAAGGTGGGCAATGGCAGACGGTTATGGAGCTTGCTTAATAAACAAACCAGAGCTCATTCAGGATATGGTGAAACAAATAAGAAATCAAGTGGAAAGTCCCAGATTTTCGGTATCTATTAAAATAAGGTAAAGACAATATTTTAATTTATTCACAGGTAATTCTTAGGAAATAAAAGAGTATTCCTTCTATCTGGGGTTCGTATCCTTAATTTGTAGCTGGGTATATGGAAATGTTGAAACAAGATACTTAGAAAATGCATATATACCTTTTTATTTATAATCCAGAACAACTTCATCTTTGTGTTTTTCAACAGAAATGAAAACATTCCTTTATCATTAAAAACTTTCCCTGAAAAGAAACCCTCAACTTTTTCTGTGTACTATATAATTAATGCTAAGAAACATTCCTGGTACCAAGAGTAGAAAATAGGAATGGTATTTGCACAAAAAATTCCACAGTGAAAAGAGAATAAACCAGGAATGAGGTTTTTGGTGACAAATTAAAAACATATTTCAAGATAAAGTAGTATATTCTCCCATCTTGGGTGTGGAGTGTGTACAGCAGATATTAGGTAGGATAGCGTCTTTTAGTTCATGTGTGACAGTATTTGGATGACTTCAGTTACAAAAGCTGAAGGGGAAGAGCACTAGGTAGGATAAAACTTGTCATCCTATTGTTCCCAATAGCAAAATAGCTAAATTTGAAATCTTAAATGGAAACTGATCCCTGAGCAAAAAACCCTTAGTGATAGTGGAATGTAGTGATAATATGATAACAGCAAAACTAACTAAATAATGTTTTATATGAAATATTATTTATTAATTTTAGCTTTGATTTGTGTGCTATAAAAAGATGGATATAATTTTGAAATTATAGGATCCATGATGATCTTACAAGAACTGTAGATCTTTGTCGAAAGGCTGAAGCAACAGGTGTTTCCTGGATTACAGTCCACGGGAGAACTGTTGAAGAAAGACATCAACCAGTTCACTACGAAGCCATTAAAATAATTAAGGAAAATATGTCTATACCTGTTATTGCTAATGGAGACATCAGAAGCTTAAAAGAAGCAGAAAATGTATGGCATATTACTGGGACAGATGGTAAGAAATAAGTACTTGAATGTTTTACTTTTAACTAGCAAAAAAAGTTGGGATGGGAGAATCATTGAATGTTTTCATTATTTTTCTTTAAATTGGAACTATTCTTTTGTACTGGATTTAAGCTAAGCAGTTTATTAAAATGATGTTAAAACTCTTCTACTTAGAAACAATAGATTATTTTATTATTATTATTTTTTAATCCTCACCCGAGGATATGCCTATTGACTTTAGAGAGAAAGGAAGGGAGGGAGCAAGAGAGGGAGAGAAACATCGATTGGTTGCCTTTCAAACACATCTTGAACACAGATCTAAACCCACAACCTAGGCATGCGCCTTGACCTCAAATCAAACCCCTGACCCTTCTGTTGAGGGGACAATGCCCAACCAACTGAGCCACACTGGCCAGGGTGGAAACAATATATTATTTTAATTGGAGTAAATTCAGTTACTCTACTGCCACCATCGTATCTAGTGAATGACCAGTTAAGAATCTTCCAGATAGCCTATTTGTAAAATAGAACACTTAGACTAGAATTGAGAGTTAGTGACACAAGAGAAGTCATAGAAACCAAAAGAACCCCAGACTGCTATAGTGTTTCATCATCCCCTTAAAGTACCGGCATACTAAGCCTTGTGATACCTATTGCCAAGGGGGAGAATACAGATAAACTTAACTTCAAGCAAGCCTAATTTATGATCATTTGGATTTACCCTTAACAAAAAGCTTCAAGATTAATTAATGTAGAAGTTTTAATACAATAAAGAATACCTGTAAATTTAAACTTTCTGGGTTTATAAAAACAACTCTCAAAATAAACTGTATTATAAGCCCTTGCTGGCGTAGCTCAGTGGATTGAGCGCGGGCTGCAAACCAAAGTGTCACAGGTTCGATTCCCAGTGAGGCCACATACCTGGGTTGCAGGCCATGACCCCTAGCAACCCCACATTGATGTTTCTCTCTCTCTCTCTCTCTCTCTCTCTTTCTCCCTCCTTCCTTTCCCTCTCAAAAAATAAATAAAATCTTTAAAAAAATAAAAAATATATTATAATTCAATTAAACAGACTAATATAAGGGCATTGTAAAACCTTGTAATACTACTTTTTTTAAAATATTCTGTTTGTTTGAGTTTGACCTTGTAACTGAATTCTTAATGTGTCGACAAATGTGATGTGCTTTAATTTGTAGGTGTGATGGTTGCAAGAGGACTCTTAGCAAACCCGGCCATGTTTGCTGGATATGAGGAAACCCCTCTGAAATGCATCTGGGACTGGGTTGACCTTGCTCTTGAACTTGGAACTCCTTATATGTGTTTTCATCAACACTTAATGTACATGATGGAAAAGATAACTTCAAGGCAAGAGAAAAGAGTTTTTAATGCTTTGTCAAGCACAACAGCAGTCTTAGATTACCTAACAGACCATTATGGGATTTGACTGGAATTCCTAAGTTATTTTAATATATATTTTAAAGAAAGTGTGTTTAACATTTTTATATTAAATAAAATTTTTTACTTTTAATACTCAAAGTATGACTCATACAGTATCTGTAAGTTAACATAAAGTATTGTCACTGAACAGTACTTGGGGTTCTGCTGCCCCCTGACACCCTCTAGGCAAAAATTCGAGAGGTAAAAGTTTGGTGATAAAGGAAAGGAATCTTTATTTTAACGTAGTTGCCTAAGCCTGTCAAATCATAGCTTTAATCACTTAAGCCTACCAGTTAAGGCTAAACTCTTAACACCTGAGTTCGCCTATCTTTTTCCCGGTTTTTAGTTACCTTGTTTCTGTTGGGTTACTTTACAAACTAAAAACAACATAATATACAAAAATTACACAATTTTGGAAGAATGGCGGACTTCTACCTCAGAGCCTGTACCCTCTAGAACATCCAAAGAATAAAACTGCCACCCTCTGCCAGGCCAGCCTGATCCTATGCTGTGCCCAGAGTTCCTTCCCATACAAAATACCATCGTTGGGAAATGCCGGCAGCTGCGGCACTATCATCCAGGCATCCTTGAGGAAGAACAGCCTCAGACCCAGAGCCTGAGAGAGCCAGCTCTCTATTTCCATTGGCTCTGGAGGCATTCAGCTCAGTCAATCCAGTCCTGGACTGCAATCCACAATTGCTTCAGCAAACTCCTCCTGTGGCCCCTCTTACTCCTCCTTAGTGATCTCAGTTATCTTATTCAGATCACTCTGTATCGATCTGTTATTAATGAGAAAAAGTGCAGAGAAGTGACAGAACAAAAGCCAACTTTTGTAAAATGAAAAGAAATGACATTATACTCTGTATAAAGTTGCATTCAGGGATTAGATTAAAAGTTCAAACTCGAAAAACACACTGGTACTTCCTAATTTGTGAATTACACACCCCAAAGTGTTTGTTTAAATTGTATGTACCTGAATTTAATTAGATACATTTTCTATAATTTAAAACTAAGTTTCCATTACACATTAAATGACATTAAACTTGTTACATTTCAAGTCTTCTGTATCAGTGATTTTTAACCAGTGTGCCACTTCACACTGGTGTGCCACAGGAATTTCTAATATATGCAATACCTGATTATTTAGTGAGGGCATAGACCTCTTTCCCTTGGATTGTCATATAAAAAAAAGACAACAGCACAATAGCTGTCAGGTGTGAATGAATCAAAATTATACCTGTCTTTTTTTTTTTTCAAATCAGCAAAATGTTCTTTTGATGTGCCACAGAATTTTAATAGTTCATGTATGGTGTGAAATGACAAAGGGATGAAAATCATTGGTCTAGATCTTTAGAAGATTGAAAGACTGATAAATATAACTACCTAAACTAGTATCAATTGTGTTCCACCACATTTTAAGTATAAAAAATGTAGTAGCTAATCTGAAAATGATTATATATTTGAAGCATTATTTCCTGAAGAACAGTAACCAGGTTTTATTTTTAACTTAAAAACCTAATTTTCAGACTCTGGGGGCGGGTTTTAGATTTTATTTATTTATTTTCAGAGAGGAAAGGCAGGGAGAGAGAGAAACATCAATGTGCAGTTGCTGGGGGTCATGGCCTGCAACCCAGGCATGTACCCTGACTGGGAATCGAACCTGCGACACTTTGGTTCGCAGCCCGTGTTGAATCACTGAGCTACGCCAGCCAGGGATAGATTCCGGTTTTATAGTGGTGGTATTTGTAGGCCTCCCAGCAGTTGATAATAATTTTAACCTTAAAGTTCCATGTTTGGGAAATGTTACTGATAGAATTTTGTTATTGGTGAATGTGCTATTGCAAGAATATCTCAGGTAAAATAAAACAGCTCCATAATCAAGGTATTGGTCTATGTTACTAACATGAAAAGTTACAAAAGGAGACAATTACCTAAAACTTCTTAATTCAAGAGTTTGGGAATATTAATCAATTTTAACATAAGCACTCTGTTGTCCTATTTTTTTCTCTGATGCATTCTCCTTTCAATTTTCAGTTACTGTATTTTTTTTTAATGCTCACCAGAGGATATACTTACTGATTCGGGAATGGAATTCAGAGACACTCCAACCAGCTAAGCCACATGGGGCCAGGGCTGAGTTACTGTTTTTAAAGATAACTGCCTTCTGCGAATATTCTCGCTGTTCTGATTTTGTGATAATCAGGGCAGGCTAACCATTCACTATATTAAAACCATGCATGTGTCCCCAGACCTAGTTCTTTCCCTAGTTCTGGCTTTATAAATGCTGGTGATAAAAAACTCTGATAAAAAAAAAAAACTGCCTTTTTCATTTAATAGGAGTGGTATTGTCACAAGCATATATTCCTGATAGTCTTTCCTAGCTGCCTGCTGAGCAGCCTGCCACCAAGGAATAGGCAGGAGTCACACACAGTAACTATGCTCTTCAGTCAGCTGTTTATTGAATGCAGGTTCAAAGTAGAACATCAACATACATGAATATCATACATTCTAACATTCTAAGAGAAATATTATACACACATACACAGTAATCAATGGGGGATAACAAACCCCAGTCTCAGAGTCTCAGTCTGCAGGTCTGAGAGATGGCACAGTGGGCAAGAAAGTTGTCAGCATCTTGCAAGGAATGATCTTCAGAGCCAGATGGGTAGCAGGGGCAGGTGAAGTCCTCAGTCCAGCAGAGCAGGACCTCCAGTGGCCAATTCCAAGGGACGTCATTGTGGAGGGGAGCAACACTCTGGAGCTCAGCTGTCTCCACAGTGGTCTGGAACCGGTCTCAATTAAACCTTGAAAGTGGTGTACCCTACCCTTCTGGATCTTTTTATAAATGTCTTGGCATCCCTGATGTCAAGTGTGGAATTTCCCCAGGAGCCTATCTGTGGGTGGTCCCACTCTGCAGACGTGGCTGTTCTGATCACATGTGCAGATATCTTAGGTGTGTCTCCTTGCCAAGTGTGTCTGTTCTGACTTAGTTTCCCTCTTGAACCAAAGTGTCATGGCTGACTGACAGCCATTTTGGCTGACATGAGTGACTCCACTTTGTTTTATATACTTTATGCTAACTTGATCAGACCAATGCCATTTTATTTGCTCTGCTCTCCACAAGTATACAAGCAAATAGGGAGCCATCTGCAAAACCTAGTCATCTTTCTAAGTCAACTCTGAGGTGAATTATACTAGTGTTGTGATAAAATAATTCAATTTAGGTGAACAGCTTTCCAAAGGCACCAGTGTGGAAGGGCAAGGAGTTCTAAATGTGTTTGGTTAAAAAAAAAATTCTTCCATAGGGTTATGTTGCCTTTTATTTAGATGTGATCAAGTATATTTATGATAAGAAAAGGCACCAACTTAAATGTTTTTATATTCTATAATTACGTCTTTTTCACCCTTTGTTTAATGTTCCCAAAATAATTGTTTCCAGGAAGATACATCATTTGCACTTTTTATGTTATCGAAGTCAAAACAGTACATATTTAATCATTTGAATGTATTCACACAATTTGAAAACCTGGAAAATAGTCATTGAAAGAAACTACCCATAACTACAGTTTCCCTTTCCCGTCAGTCCCCAAACATCACATCACCCTTAAGTTCATGGCCTCTTCCCAGCACGTGGACAACAGCAGAAAGAATGTTTTCACTCTACACGTCCTACAGTCTGAGGAGAACAAAATGCTGCATAACTACCCAATCCTGGCCCTTCTATTTAACTAGAGCTTATTTCCGGACAGTGAAGTCAGTTCTATCATAACACTGAACCGAAATACGAAAAGAGTGCGTTTCAAAATGGTCACGGAATTTACACCACCTTATCCAAACCTTCTGACCCGGTGCCATTTTCCTTGGACCCCACGCTGCTTTATCATAAGAGATCCATTAACTATGCCTCCTACCCAAACCACACAGTATTAGAAATTTAAAGTCAGCTCTCCTGAAGTTGCACCTGGGAGTCCCACACATCCACCACCAATTAGGACACAATCAACTTCTACCGTACTCGCGCCACCAGGGACACCTGCGAGGATGGACCGGCACCTTGGCCAGGAGCAGGAGGCCGGCCCCGCAGCGGGTGAGGGTGGGGCACGCTTCCCTCCGCTGCCCCGCCGCGGCGTCTGACGTCTCGCGCGTCGCCGACCTGGAGCTACGCGGGGAGCCCGGCCGCAGCAAGCGGGGTAAGGCTCGGCGAGATCCAAGGGGTCCGCGGGGACGCCGCGCTCTCCCCGCTTGGGCCTGTCCCCGACCCGTCGATCTAGGGCCTGCTGCGCGTTCGCCGAGCCCTAGGGTCTCTAGGCGCGGAAGTTAGTAGAGGCTGGCGTAACGCGCCCAAAAATCGCCGCGAAGCTGGCGGAAAAACCATGTGCTACGCAGGCCGCCCTTCACGCAGCTCAGGGCTGGGCGGGGGAGGTGCTGACGCCGTCTCCCGACCCACCCTTAACCCTTTCTTTTCCTTCCCTTCCCTTCCTTTCCCTTCCCTTCCCTTCCCTTCCCTGGCTTTCCCGGCCGGGCGTGCAGTTACGGGGACGTCGGACTTCGTAAACCCCCTGGATGAAAACATTGGCGACCCGGGGCTTATACCCAATTTTCCTTGAACGGCAATAAAGTAAAACAAGTGTTTCTCTATTTAGGTGTGAAGAGAAAAAAATGACATTCCAATGGGCGGCAGTTGCAACCTTTCTTTATGCTGAAATAGGACTCATTTTAATCTTCTGTTTACCTTTTATTCCTCCTCAGAGGTAGGAAAACGCCAAATTGTTACAATAATAAGTATACGACTAGCTCCTTTATGCCGTTTAGTGTGATACAGAAAACGTTTTCTTAAAATTTGAAAGTTTTGAGTGCTGATTATATAAAAGATGCAGTTAAAAATTAAAGCCACTAACAAATTTAAGTAATATATAATGACAACATTAAAATATCACTGTTTATAAAACTTTTTGTTAAATGTACAAATTAACTCCCCCCCCTTCCTAAAAGCAAATGGCAAGTCCTTTGTTTCTGTTAATTACGGGTAGAATAAAGGTTATGGTTTTAACATCTGCCTTGTCGTCAGGTTTTACCTTTGTTTTATTGCCCTGAATTGGAATAGTGAACTAAGTGAAGGTGGATAGATAAAAGATGGTTACAGCCTAGCATGGAGGCAGAAATGTTTCACTGGGACAGTGAAAGGACAATTTAGAAACTTAAGCCAGTAAGTAATTCTTAGTGTTGGCCTATCTAAACAAGAAATTGTTTCATTAATGGTAATTTTACTACTGTTCCCCACACACAGAATTAATGAATATAGGTTAAAGGTGCTGATTATGGAAAGTATCAGAGCCAGACATTAGCATTAGTTCCTTAGGTCTTTAAGTATTAAGTAATTTAATTGAAATATTGGCTCACTTTACCCCTGTGATAATCCACTTAACGGGAGTTCAGTTTTAGATCCAGAAACTTGCTTGTATGAATGGTGAAATACACTTGTAATAAAAATGTTACATGACTTTTGTTCATACACATGGCGTAAAAGAAAATCTTGCATAAATGAAATCCTACAGATAACCCACTGAAGTTTACTAGGAGCCCATGAAAGAGATGTACAAAAGCTTTTTACCTTGGCTCAGGGTTCAAATAGTCTTTCACAACTCTTAGCTTGCTTCTTTCCTACCTGGATTTCTACTCATTTCTGTCTTTGTCCATCAGTGGTATCATTATTTTTTTCTTCCTTGCTCAAGACAAAAAAAAAAAAAAAATTAAATGATACTGTAGGAAAAGAGCTTAGAGATCATTGTATCCAACCCACTCATTCTATAGGGAAAGTGGTCTAAGGTCAAGTAACTGATTAATGGCAGATTCCAGACAAGAATCTTGCTTTCGGGTTAGTGCTCTTTCTACTCCATCCCTCAACTTACTTCTCAGCACCTTGATTTGTTTCTGATCCTCAATAACACCCTGTTTAGCTTTTTGGTAATACTTGCAAGGACTTGCAAAAAATATTTTTAGTCTGTCTACTTTCTCTCTATCAAAATGATCCATTAACTTTTCTCCATCAAAATGATCTATAAGTTATTTTTCTTCCTGCCAAATAAATTTTTTCCCTATTCTGATCAAGTAGCTATTGGATAGATGTGTTCATATTTATATTATGTTTATATAATATACATGAGAAAATATGGTATATTTGTATATATATCATTTATAATATGCCCTACTGTGTGTATCTCCATCTTTTTATCTTTTATATGTGTATCACCATAATTTTCAAAGAAGAGCTTTTAGTCTTTTTTATTTGGCTCTCTATTTTTGTCTCACAAAACCAACTGGTTAGGCGCATGCTGAGAGGTCAGAGGTCAGACTGCCTGGGTTTGTAGCCTTACTCTGCATTTTACTGTGCAACCTTCTGCAAGTTGTTACCATCTCTAGTCAGTTCTCCCATTTGTAAAATGGAGGTAATATTCATATCCACCTCACATAGTGGTTGTGGTGATTAAATTAGCTAAAACATATAAAATGCTTAGAATGTATAGTAAGGACTCAATATATGGTAGCTATTATTAGCTCTTCCTTGAATTTAGTGTTAATATAAACTGCTTGTTGTTCTCTGCAGGGTGTCTCTTGTGTTTTGTTTTGTACTGGCCCTTGAAATATAAATCTACATTTGGACCTTGATTGCCACTTATGTTCTCTTTCAAAAAATATAAAATTTTTATAATGTAAAATCTAAATGTCCTTGGAATTGGAAGCATAGAGACAAAAGAAATCAATTTATCTTATGTCAATCTTCCTCTTTCCTCAAAATTCAAGTTATTATTTACAGTTGTTTCCAAAACTTATTAGCTAATAATTTGTCATAATCTTTAAGTTTTTTGAAGTTGTGTTTGAAGTTTATTTAAGTGCTTATTACTCAGTTAATATTTTCATTCATTTTAAATGCCCTTGTGCAAAGTTTGTTACCTTTTGAGTTGTGTGATGAGTTACTTCATCAGTCTTTGGCATTTATAATCCATACATTTTTACCCCTGTCTTTGTTTATACCTTTTAATTCATCCATTATAGACTATTTACTTTCCAATTTTATTTCCTCTGTGTTCAAATCTTGATCATGGTAACTACATGGGTACATACACATACGTACATATACTCTTCAAGTTATATATTTAAGAGTCTTACATTTTGTCATGTGTATGTAATATATCAGTGATTTTAAAAATCCATGGTAAAAAGAGAGGAAACACTTTTACTTGGAGTAAATGTTAAAATTGTGCTACATAAAATAAATAGCTGAGAGGGTTGGGCCCACTACTCAAATATTGCTAATTTAGGGCCAATATTTGTTGTTTCCCTGTTATTACCCTGATTAGGAAAAAGACATAAAATGATAGCTTCTATCAGCCATATAACATTTTACTATGAGAATTCCTTTTTAAGATTTTGATCATGTATCTTGCCTTTAAGTTACTTTCACTGTAGAATATTTAAGCTTCTGGAGAGAAGGTAATGAAATGTCAGGTTATTATTAAATTTGAGAGAAGTGTTCTCCATTTCATGAAACTCTTTTATAAATTAGTAACTCTCTGATATGGCATAAATTAAATTTCTGTAATTCTTATTACTCACTACACAATAACCAAAATGTCAATTCAGTATTCAGAAAGTATTTCAAAATATTCTTCCAATTTTTTTTATACCTAATGTAATTGTATTGCTTTACAGATGGCAGAAGATTTTTTCATTTAATATCTGGGGTAAAATTGCAACCTTTTGGAACAAGGCTTTTCTTACTATTATAGTCCTATTGATTGTTCTGTTTCTAGGTAAGTACTAGAGTAATAGATGCCTACTTTGAATAAGCTTACTTTAGTTTTTATTTATTAATGAATTGTTTTAATTAAGTTAATGTTGCTATTGATATACAGTTGACTTTGTATAGTATATGAATAATATATAGAACAAATACTGATATATGTGTATAGTTAATAGATATTACTATTATATATTCAAAGCATAAATTTCAACAGAAATTTGTTGTTCTTAACCTCTTTTAAGTTGTTTTAAAATTTAAATAAACCAATGTAGAGCCCACTTTTCAGTGCTACCAGTTATACATACAGTCCTTTGTTACTGTGGCATCCTAGGCACCAGGGGCTTAGCTGTTAGGGAGGCATAGAGGAATAGAATGATTAGGCCCTCAAAGGGACTCTTAGGTGCAGGTTTAAAAACAATTACAACACAGATATTTGGGGACTACTGAAAAAAACTGAATATGGACTGGTTGTTAGAGAATATTAGGGAATTTTTTTTGTTAACCTTAGTTGTGATACCAGTGTTGTTACATAGCTGTGGCCTGCAAATCAAATGCCAATTTCGGAAATTAAAGTTTTAGTGGAGCATAACCACACCCATTTGTTTATGTGTCATCTATACATGTTTGCATGGACAGCTACAGAGTGACACAGTTGCAGCAGACACACCGTATGACCAAAAACATTCACTATCTGCCCTCTTACTGAAAAAGTTTACCAACACCTGCTCTATAGGAATATGTCCTTATTCCTAGGAGCTGCATACTAACATATTACAAGTGTCATGATATTTTCAACTCAATTTCAAATGGTTAAAAATAATAAGACAGATAAAGCAAACACAGGGAAAAGTTAGCAATTATTGAATCTAGGTGGTAGAAATACGGGTGTTTATTGTACTAGTTTTTCAGCATGTTTGAAATTTTTATAACAAGTATCTTAGATATTAGAATTAAACCCTTAAGTTTCTTGTCAAAGCAGAAATTCCATAAGTCTAAATAATTATATATTTTAGAAGAAGTAGCTGAACTTAGAAAATTAAGTAACTTGCCTAATCACCCAGCTACTTCTTGGCACTTCAGCTTTTAATACACATTGCAGAATATGCTTTACCTCAGAATCCCTAAGAGCTGTTGTATTGTAGGTTAAGTTTTACAAGGGCCAGCCTGCAACCATAGCCACCATGTGTGCCACTATTTTGTGAGAAAACGTTTCCCATGTTCCATAACACCAACCTCTGAAATGGAATCCTCTTTATAAAACTGGGACCAACTGGTGTGAGAGGGTGTGAGTAGGTAATTGTATCAGGGTGTGAATGGGTTTCTGCCTCATCCAAAAATGTCAATATTTATCTCCTGGTACATTATTGTTAATGTTATCAACTTAATCTCCAGCCTTATAAGTAATAACACTAAATGAGTGAAGAATAAGGAAAGCAGTCCTGCTTTGCCACCAGCTCACTAAATGACTTCTGGAATGGCGTTTCCTGTGAGTTTATCTATTGGCAAAGTCACAGGAGAGAAGATCATTTCTGCAGCTTTTTCTAGCTCTAAAGTGTTTCAAGATCTAACTCTAAAATTATCACAAGAATTTCTACTGAAAACCGCCACACACCCCACCCATATAAGGAAGGAGAACTTTAGTCACAGTTTTGGTTATATCTATCAGGAACAAACTTGAACTCCCTTGAGCAAGAAGGAGGAATTTATAATAAAATATGAGGCTGTTTTAGAGCAGCCCAGGGAAGGAAGTAAGCTAAATTCCAGTAAGGAACTAATAGTCCCTAAAGTGCCCTTTTGTGTCCCTGCATCTCTCCCTCGGTCTACTTGATTCTTCGTCATTTCCATGGACTCTCAGTCTATTCCCAAAGCAGAAAATGGCCACCACACAGCTGCCAAGTATTAATCACTCCAGCCATATGCAAGGATTAATTAGCCAATTCTGAATCCCAATTCTAAGGAAAAAATTGGGCCAGCTAGCACCAGGTATACAGCCCTTGTCTGGTAAGCTATGACACAGTCATGACTGCTGCCTGTAGCCTACATCTGTGGATTCCCAGAGTGTAGGGAAGTCATGGATGATTACTGCAGGAACTTTAACCGTGGATGAGTAAAGGCAGGCAGATAGGGACTTACTTTTTAAGCCTCAATGTTTACATTTCAGAAGAGGGTAGTAACATTTACTTCACTGAGGTATTGGAAGTTTTCGCCTCAATAGATTTTTAAAGTAATAAATTTTTTAAAGACAAATGGCAAGATAGCTTGTATTAGATTAATCCTCCTGTGATAACAATTATGAACGCTGGACAAAATAAGAAAAAAAAAGTATTTGAAGGCTTAGGAGAGCAACCAAAAGTAGATGGAAACTGGAGTCTAGTCAAACCTTGAAAGTAGGGAATCACTCAGAGTGTGATTTTATTTACATAGCTCTTCCTCTAAGGACAGTTCTCAGCCGTGTGGCATGGTCACATAGACCTCAAAGTGGAAAGCCACAGTATTACTGACTTAAAGGGGTCAAAGGTCAGAGAGGCTGGTAATTAAAGGGAAATATCCAAAAACGGAGAAAGCATCATAAAGTGAACCCCAAAATCTGCATAAAAATTCACCTCAAATCCTTGGTTGAATCTTGAACCCTGGATCTGTAAGGGAGATTGCAAAGAGTTCTGTGGAAAGCAGCAGTTAGAACGCTCAAAGAACTGAGTGGATTTAGATGCTGCCCACCAAAAAAGAAACAGTTTAAAGTTTCAACTCCCATCACGTTTGATGGCCATGGTAAAGACATTTGACCTTTCCACTAAAATCACAGAAGATTGCTTTTTCAGAATAGAGAAGTTATTGTGTCCCAGGAATTAGGAATTTAACTAAAATTAAAGTCAAAACAGACTAGCCTTAAAAAGTATAAAAAGCAAGTCTCTGAAAACGCCTGTAGACACTAGACTCTGTTCACAAAGATACACTATATTCTGGCATATAAATATAAGTCCCAATAAGTTACAAAAGAATTGAAATCATGCAAAGTATATAAAAGAGAATTCGATAACATACCTGAAACAACCCCACATGTTTGGAAATTAGATAAGACACTTGTCAATAATGCATGGGTCATAGAAAGGCAAAAGAGAAAATATTTTAACTGAGTAATAATGAAAACACACTGTACAAAAATTTTTTAGATAATTAAGCAATAAAGTGCTATTTAGAGGATATTTACAGCCTTGAATGTTTATTAGAAAAAGAAGAGTTAAAATCAGTGAATTTTTGCTACCTTAAGAATATTTATTCATGATTTTTTCTAAAAGGTTAGTCATAAAAATTATATGATCATCTCAATAGATGCTGAAAAAGCATTTAAAAATATTTGACATCCATTTCTGATAAAAACTCTAAACATACTTTTTATAGAGGGAATGTACCTCAACATAATAAAAGCCATATATGACAAGATATATATTCAACAATGAAAAGCTGAAAGCTTTTCCTCTAAGACCAGGAACCAAACAAGGATACACAATTTCACCATTTTTATTCCTAGTATTGGAAGTCCTAGCCAGAACAGTTAAGCAAGAAAAAGAAATAAAAGGCATCCAAGTTAGAAAGGAAGTAAAACTGTCACTATTCCAGATCATGTGATACAGAAATCTATATCTGCATTGATTAAAGATCTCTAAGGCTTCCTAGAAAAGACTGGTGAGTTAATAAGTGAATTCAGTAAAATTACAGGATACATCAATACACAGAAATCTGCATTTCTATATGCTAATAACAAACTATCAGAGAAATTAAGAAAACTTCATTTATAATCATATTAAAAAGAATAAAATACCTAGGAGTAAATTTAACCAAAAAGGTGAAAAACCTGTACACTGAAAACTATGACATTGATGAAAGAAATTGCATAATAGGAAAGATATTCTGTGCTTATAGATTGGAAAATTAATATTGTTAAAATGTTTATGCTACCCAAAGTAACCTGCACATTCAGTATAATCCCTATCAAAATTCCAATGGCATTTTTTTACAGAAATAGAATAAACAATCCTGAAATTTGTATGAAACCACAGAAGACCCCAGATAACCAAAGCAGTCATGAAAAAGGACAAAGTTGGAGGCATCATGCTCCCTGATTTCAAACTATATTATAAAGTTATAGTAATAATCAAAACAGTATGGTATTTGGGGGAATGGGTGAAGAAGTAAGGGGTTTAAGAGGTACAAATTGGTAGTTACAGAATAGGCATGGGGATGTAAAGTGTAGTGTAGGAAATGAAGTAGCCAAAGAATACATGCATGACCCATTGACATTAACAATGGTGTGGGGATTGCTTAAGGGAGTAAGGGGTACTGGGTGAAGGGGGGCAAAGGGGAAAAAATTTGGACAACTATAATAGCATAATCAATACAATATAATTTTTTAATATATAAACAGTATCGCATTGGCATAAAAACACATATATATCAATAGAGCACAATAGAGAGCCCAGAAATAAAACCACACATATTCAGTTAATTTTTGATAAAAGAGCCAAGAATATACAGTGAGAAAAGACAGTCTCTTCAGTAAATGATGTTGGGAAAACTTGACTACAGTCTTACACAATACAAAAATTAACTTAATGTACACCTGGAACTAATACAAAGTAATTTTGAATGTAAACTGTAATTGAAGAATAAAATTAAAAAAATTAACTCAGAATGGATTGAAGACTTAAGACCTGAAACCACAAAAACTAGAAGAAAACATAGGTGGTAATGGGTCTTGGCAATGATTTTTTTGGAGTTCACACCAAAAGCAAAGGCAACAATGGCAAAAATCAACAAGTACGGCTATATCAAACTAAAAAGGTTCTGCAAAGCAAAGGAAACCATCAACAAAATGATAGACACAATAAAATACTAGTATAGTAAGAAAAATAGGATAGTCTCTCAGAATTTATTGTAATGGGATATGGCCTATGTGTTATTGTTAATAGGTTAAAATGTAGTCACCCTATTAGGGATATAGAAAGTAAAAGATAACAGTTTGCAGTGTAGCTGGAGATGAGACAGTAAATGATGGTGAGTACTAGATGAACAGTGAAAACAAAAATAGTGAGTACAGATCATCCATTTTGAGCACAGTATCCTCTCAAGTACTTAGAGGAAAAGTCCTGCCTAAAGTCCATTATTTTAAAGTTATAGCAGTTACTCTATAACTGCTTTCCATTTTAATAATAATTTTATATTCTTACAAGCCAAAAGTAATGTGTTCTCTTTTCTCTAACAGATGCTGTGAGGGAAGTAAGGAAATATTCCTCTGTTACTACTGTCGAAAAGAGCTTACCCAGCAGACCTGGTGCCCATGAACATACACAGATGAAACTTTTTAGGTCTCAAAGAAATCTTTACATTTCTGGATTTTCATTATTTTTTTGGCTGTAAGTAAAACATATACACACATTTGAAAACAATTTGTTTCTTATTTTTTAACCTAAACTATAGATTTTTTCTGTAATATTAATTATACTAATGTCTGCATAAAAGAACTCAGGCTATATTCCCAACTAACAAGCAATAGTTACGGATTGTAGGTTTGAAAAGTTAATAAACTCTGCATGATCTAGCCCCTGCTTCTATCTGGAGCCTTGTTTCATACTGTTCGCTGACAGTACACCACATTCCTACTCCACTATTCATTCATTCATTCTTTTAAAAATATGTATTGATTTTAGACAGGGGATGTGGGGGAGGGAGAGAAACATCAGTTTGTTCCACTTATTTATTCATTCATATGTGCCCTGACTGGGTATCAAACCCCCAACCTTGGCATATTGGGATGATGCTCTAACCAACTGAGCTACCTAGCTAGGCATTCATTCATTCTTGTAACAAATATTTATTAAGTCCCAATTGTATAATTAGCTCCTGACTACTTCAGGATCTTCATACCTGCTTTTCCTTCTGCCAGAACACTCTTTCCTCTTTCCCTGGCTAACTTTTCATCATTCAGTATCTTTCCCAGGGAAGCCTTCTGTGACCACCATTCCCCTCAAAGTAGATAGGTATCCTCTTGTACTCTCCTATAGAATGTATACATACTGTATTTTGCTGTGTATAATGTGCTCTTGTTCATAGTGCACACCCATGTTTTTGGCCCAAACTTTCAGGAAAAAAATCTTTCACTTTAATTTTTAATTCAATTATTTATTTGTTTATATTTAGATACTTGTTTTTTGCATTATAAAAGAATTTTAGTATTTATTTTTGAACATATGGTACAAGAAATTTTATGTAACATACAATTATGAGATACAAGAACAGATGCAAGGTCTTTCAGGTACTACCCATGTATAATGCACAACCTTATTTTTCCCTCAAAAATTTGGGCAAAAAAGTATGCATTGTACACAGCAAAATATGATATTTTCTTTGAAGTATTAACCATGATTATAATTAAATACTGTTTTAACTCTTGCCTCTCCAACTACAACCTAAACTCTTTGAGAACAGGGACTTTGTCTTGTTTCTTCCTATGGCCTCAATATCTGAAACAATACTTAACACTTAGCAGCTCCTTAGGAGATATCTGTTAAATGAGTAATTGAAGATACTAATTACTACTTCTAACAATAAAAGTTACCCACAAACACATGTGTGTGAGCAGTTTCGGGGCTTGACCAGCCTCATACAATGCTCTTTAAATAGCAAAGTTTGAACTGGGGGTAAAAAAAAGATTTCTCTTACTGGCCCTGCCACACTGTCTGAAATTCTCTTTCTGCTCCTCTTGGCTGGAGGCATCTACAAAGAAAAACATTAAATTAGTAAGTACCATTGGACCTGTATTTCAAATGCTAGTCTTCTAACAAAGATTCTTTTTTTTATTATATATTATTGATTATGCCATTACAGTTGCCCCAATTTTCCCCCTTTACCCCTCTCTGCCCAGCAACCCCCACTCCCTCAGGCAGTCTCCACACACCATTGTTCATGTCCATGGTTAATGCACATAAACTCTTTGGCTACTCCATTTCCTACACTGTACTTAAACATCCCCATGGCTATTGTGTTACTACCTATTTGTACTTCTTAATCCTTCACCTATTCATCCATTCCCCAATACCCCCCTCCCATCTTGCAACCATCAAAATGTTCTCCATATCCATGATTCTGTCTGTGTTCATCTTGTTTTCTTAGTTTGTTTTTTTAGATTCAATTGTTGATTTGTATTTGTTGCCATTTTATTGTTCATAGTTTTGATCTTCATTTTCTTAAATAAGTCCCATTAACATTTCATATAATAATGGTTTGGTAATGATGAATTCCTTTGGTTTTTTCTTATCTGGGAAGCCATTTATCTGCCATTCAATTCTAAATGATATCCTTGCTGAGTAAAGCAATCTTGGCTGGCTGTAGCTGCCTGCTTTTCATGACTGAATATTCCTTGCCAATCGCCTCTAGCCTGCAGAGTTTCTTTTGAGAAATCAGCTGAGAGTCTTATGAGAACTCCCCCTGTAAGTAACTATCTGCTTTTCTCTTGCTGCTCTTTATCTTAAACTTTGGCATTTTAATTGTGATGTGTCTTGGAGTGAGTCTCTTTGCATCCATCTTTTTTGGGACTATATGTGCTTCCTGGACTTGCATGTCTAGTTCCTTCACCAAGTTAGGGAAGTTTTCTTTCATTATTATTCAAGTAGATTTCCAATTTCTTGCTCTTTCTCTTCTTCTGGCATCCCTACAATGTGAATGTTGGAAAGCTTGAAGTTGTCCCTAGAGGCTGCTTATCCTCAATTTTTTAGATTCTTTTTTCTTCCTGTTATCATAATTGGTTTTATTTTTCTTCCTTATGTTCCAAATCATTGATTTGATTCTCGGCTTCATTCACTTTACTTTTGTTTCTCTGTAAATTGTTCTTTATTTAAATTGATGTATTATTCATTTCTGACTGGACCTTTTTTATGCCGTTGAGTTACTCACTAAGTTCCTTGAGTGTCCTTATAACCAGTGTTTTGAACTGCATCTGATAGATTGCTCATCTCCCTTTCATTTAGTTCTTTTTCTGGAGTTTTGATCTGTTTTTTCAATTGGGCCATGTTTCTTTGTGTCCTCATTTTGGCAGCCTCCCTGTGTTCGTTTCTATATATTAGGTGGAGCTGATGTGGCTTCCTGCCTTGGTAGTGTGGCCTAATGCAGTAGGTGTTCTATAGTGTCCAGTGGCATAGCCTCCCCTATCTCCCAAGCTCGGTCCTCAAGGTGTGTGCTTCATGTGGGCTAAATGCACCCTTCTCTTGTAGTTGAGCCTTGGTTTCTTTTGGCAGGTGAATGGGAGAGATTTTCCCAGACACGTCAGCTACAAGGACTAGCTGTGACCACTGACCACCAACCTCTGCCCTCCATGGAGGATCAGGTGTTCAGGGACAGGTAGTGATGCTCCAGCATGATTTGTAGCTGTCCCCTGGGAGCACAGGCCCTGGGATTTCCCAGGTGGTGTAGGCCAAGGTCAGCCTCCACCTTGTTTTGCCTGGGGCATCCCTGTCTGAGCTATAAAACAATCTGAGATGGCTGCTACTTCTGCTGGGCTTGGAGATTCCTAGGCAAACCCAAGCTATGAATCTAGGATAGCTACTGCTAGTGCTGGCCCTGGGGCCACTTAGCAAGAGGTCCAGGGTTTGGTGGCTCACTGAGGCTCGCTGTTGCTTGTTTGAGAGGATTTAGGAAGTTGTGAAGCATGTACTAGAACCAGCCATTCACATGGAAAAGCCACTGTTAACAGCTGTAAGATGGGTCAGGTGGAGCCTCAGGGGATCTCCAGGGTGGGGCAAAGCGTGTTAGCCATGTTGATGGAGTCTCAGATATGGCACCTACCTGGCAGCTCCATGGCTGTGTAGGGGGGAGATTCAGAAAAGGGACGGTGGCCTCTGCCTGCCTTTTTGTCTGGGAGATAGTTGTCCCCTAGCTTTTGTCTTGCTGCCAGACACTGTAGTTCCTCCCTATACGCCACTGGTGCCTTTCTAGCTACTACCCTGGTGCTGGAGCTCAGAGGCAGTGAATGTGAGTAAGTCTGTGTTTGGCTTAAGATGAACTGCTTGGGACTCTAAAAGTTTCTTCCACTGACTCAATCCCCCCCTGCCTTTTGCAGGCAGAAGTAATGGGTACTTATCTTCCTGGCACTGGAACCCTGGGCTTCAGGCCTGGTGTGGGGCTAGGACTCCTCACTACTGAGATATCCCAAATTTTTATCCACCACCTGTGGACTTGGAACCAGCCCATTCTGCATCTCTGACCCTTCTACCAGTATGGATGGATATGATTTCTTTAATTCCATAGTTGTCAGACTTCCATTCAACTTGATTTCTGATGATCCTGAGTGATGGTTGTTTTATAATCTAATTGTAATTTTGATGTGGTTGTACCAGGAGCCAAGCTCTGTTTACCTATGCTGCCATCTTGACTGGAAGTCTAACAAAGATTCTAAACAAATGAGTCACAGGTGTGTTTGGACTGAAAGACTTGGTTCTTTTTTAAAAATGAGTCCTCCCTAACCATCATCTCTCTCCACCACACACATACCTAAAGGAATGTTGTTATATCAATAACTATTTATTTTACCTTTTTTTCTTTAGAGTGCTAAGACGTCTGGTTACCCTTATTACTCAGTTGGCAAAAGAACTATCAAACAAAGGAGTACTTAAAACTCAAGCAGAAGATGCTAATGAGACTGCCAAAAAATTCATGAAAGAGAATGAGAAACTAAGACAGGTATTTAAATTTTCTTTTAAAAAATTTGTGTGAATGTTGTTGATATTCCCACAGGATGATATATTATTTTTCAGCATTGAAAAGGGCATTTGCTTAATTTATATGCAGAAAATAACCAAAAATAGCAACATTGTTCTACAAATCAGTGATTTCATTTTATTATCTTTTACATTTATTTGTTCTCATACTTTCCCTCCATAGTAGATTAATACCATTGGACGTTCTGTGATTCGAGGAGAAAAGTATTCTGGGAATGTGAATTTTAATCTATTCATTACCATTAATTTTACTTTATAACCTAAAACAGGTATTTATAAGTGTCTATATTTCTTTTTTTAATCCTTACCTGAGGATATGATTATTGATTTTAGAGTAAAGGGAAGGAAGGGAGAAAAAGAGGGAGAGAAACATTGGTGTGAGAGAGAAACATCTATCTATTGCCTTTCTTATGCACCCTGACCAGGACAGGACCCAAAACCTAGGTATGCACCCTGACCAGAATCAAACCCTGGACCTTTCCATTCACAGTACGATGCTCCAACCAACTGAGCCACACCAGCCAGGACTAAGTCTCTGTATTTCCATTTTCTTTTCAGTTAAATTATTTTTGTAATGCTGTTTTGCTTTATTTATTTTGTTTTATTTTAAATGATGGTTATGTAGGAAGCAGAGGAAAATAGTTGATGTAGATTGATGATTATACAATATTTAAAATCTTTAACTTGGTGATGCTGCTGATAATGCTTCTTTGACAGCCCATTGCTAAACCCCTGCCATTCAGGGAGGGTGCTTTTCCCATTAAATAAAAAGAACAAATGGAAAAATGAAAGATACAAAATTATTTGGGGTATTTTTTTTCTTAAGTTTAAAATTTAGTACTTAGATCTCATACTTGAGTGTGTTCAGTTCATAGTAAGCCACATATTTTGAGAATTCTGCTTTTTAATAAAAATAGCCAGTGGAAGCATTCATCAAGCAGATTTTCTTGAAGATAACATTCCTAAAAGAATGCAATAAGATTATTTCCCTATTATGAATTAATGAAATGCAAATAATTATATGTTACACCAAGTTATATTTATGTAAAAAGTTTTGGCTCCCTCAGTAGAGAATATAAATCCTTATCCAAGTCCTAAAGCCCAGACTCTTATAAGAAGAATTCAAAGCACCACCTTCCATCAGTTCTAAATGAGGTAGCTATTATATGGTATAGTGTAAAGCTTTCCAAAACCTATTAAACAAGGCAAAATTCATTTCAGAAAATTTTGTTGGATGCTATAATATCATGGTTACTTTCTCAAAACCCTGTTTTACTTTTTTTTGATGTCTGCCTTATTTTCCATATGAAAAGGTATCTTTATAGAAACAGTTCAAAAATGTTTCTTAGATTGTATGCAGCATCTTTTAAGGAAACCTTTAGAGAATAAGCATCAGTTTGGTTTTTGTTTTGTTCTCTTTCGGAAAGGCATTGATTCACAGATGTCATGTAAATTTCCCCTTGTAGTAAACATAGGTCTGGGAAATCAAGCTGTTGGTAAAAGCAAGCAATAAGTTATTTTTGCTTTGGGGGGAATATTTCAGCAACAGAGTTAGTCTCATTTTGTACATTAATATTTTTGCTTCATTTTCTATCCTTTGATCTCATTTCCTAATGGTAAAAAGAAAACAAAACCTTCAAAGCTTCGATTAATATGATGGCTAGCCTCGAAGCACACAGCCATGTCTTTGTAGATTCACTGTGTGCCTGTCTAGATTTAATATTCTGCCCATCATGTCAGATTAAGGAGTTGTAACTACAAATAGAACACTGCTTTTTCCCTCTGATTCTTCCGTTATTTTATTCCTGCTCTTTAGCTCTAAGAAAATGGAAAGTGTTTTTGTACTATTATTTTTCTCATATACATCATAATTAATATACTTAAATTAGTATTGTCCTTCAAAGAAAGCATCCTCCTCAAAACATTTTTGGAATTATTTTCAGGACCAGTTACCATTCCAAGGAAGCTTATTTCATGACTACTGATTCTTTGATCCCCCACAATTTCTTCCTTTGGTTCCATGCTGTCCTCCTTCCTGCATATCTCTAATCAAATTAGTGGTCCTAGATCATCAGAGGTGCACAGATATGCTAGGCTAAAACCAGGACACAGTGGGGAGAAAGTCTGTGAGTTGGACATAAATACTGCCAGTGCCCAAAGAGCAACTAATTGCTACGGGCCTATGCCTGCACTGACACTGCTACTGCTGAGGAGCTGACCTGGCTTGGCCCAGCAGCTCCTGGTGCAGCATGCCTAAATCCATTCCAGGTCTCTGCAGGAGCAGCTCAGGACCATATCACCCTTGGGTTCACCTGCTGCCATTGGGGGTATGCCTTGTCTCACCTGGAGAGCCACAAGAAGCAGGCATGAAGGGCACTGTCCTCTCCCTCACCATGTAACCTCACCACCCCTCACTTGTCCTGATCAGGCCTGCTGCACTCCTGGCCAGCCTCCCCTGGATCATGTCCTCCAGTTTACAGTGACCTCTTCTGCAATCATGATCTCTTGACTTCTCCATTGTGACATCCTGGGACCATATATTTCAGTTTATAAGGCCCTCAGTATGACCTTCCTTTGTAATGATAAAATCTTTTCCCCTCCCCCAAAAAACAAAAAACAAAGTGCAACTAATTGATCAATAAAGGCCATAGGTTAGAATATCAAAGATGACTTATTTCAAGTTATGTAATTCTTGTAGGTGTTGAAATACTAGTTAAGGAAGGATAAAATTTCAAAAACACCTCTTCATTCTCTGTCAGAGACACATTATCTAATGGAAAGTATATTACTCTTGAGATGCAAGAGATTTGGCTGCTGGTCCCAACTCTACCAATAATTAGCATTGTCACCTAGGGCAAGTCACCTCACATGTTCTGGACCTCAAGGTCATAAATAATAGCTAACACTGTGCCAGGTATCACTTCACATGCTTCACAGTAAGGTATTAATTCTTGCAACAACCCCATGAAGTTGATATGGTTATTATCTGCAATTTATACATGAGAAAGGGAGGCACAAAAATGTTAAATGACTTACACAAAATCATTCAGCTAAGTGACAACTAAGATTTAATCCAAGCAATCTGACTCTGCAATCCACAGTCTTAACCTTCTCTTGTATACTAGCCTATAAAATGACTTGCAGATGGTGCCTGAGACCCTTTTGTGTTCTGATATTCAGTTAATTAGATTAAATAATTCTATGAAAGACCAGTTAACTTTTAATTGTTTTAAATAACAACAGTAGTGGAATTTTACTTCTTACTAGTTTTTTTCCAGCCACGTACCAAGATGGAATAAGGTAGATGAAAGAGTGAACACGTGCATTATTGTAGCTGGTAGCTATTGGATTTCAGATTCCAAGACTCTTGGTCTTTCTCCACTGTCAAGTTACACATAATAAATTTGGACAAGTTTGCAGGTGCAGTAATGAAAGCATATTTACAAGACCAACACAAATTCAACTTTTCTAAGTAAATGGCATAATAATTCAAGGAGTGTAAACATTCCTGCAACTCAATGATTCCCTTCCAATTTGGGTAATCACTGGAGAGTCTGTGGGAACTGAATTCAGTGAACCAACAACTAGGATTGTTTTGAATGTGAGCAGGCAAGACATTCACAGAGATTTGGAGAAATTTTTTTACTTATTTCTGATCTTTAAATTTTTTAAATTTTAAAATATTTTGAAACTATAGACTTCTTTAGTCATAGTGTGCACTTCAGTCCTCTTACCTCCTAAAAAAATTTCTTGGGATTATATAATATATTCATTAGTGCTTTAATTCCTCTTGAGTTGCCTAATCTTTATTGCAACACAGTAATGCTGTATTTGATCTTATGCTATAGTTTGTACACTCTTGTCTCATCCTTTTCAGTAGACTAAGCTACCTGAGAGCAGAGATCATATTTCTCTTACATTTGTGTCACTTATAACACCTAGTATTGTCATATTTGCATGTAGTCAGTGCTCAGCACGATTTGTTTGTTGAATATACCAGCTTACATTAGAAGAGGAACCATCTGCAAAAGAAACCGTTTTCTATGTCAGTCTGTTTTAAATTGTCCTGTGTTGCTTTTTTACCTATAGAAACTGTCACTGTCAAGTTGCTGCACTCTAGTCAAATAACCCATGCCAGTGTGTACATACTTTATTTTTTAAACATTAATTTGCCTTTCTTGGTAACTTAAATTATTAAAATTTCTTTCTGATGTCAACTTCTTAATTCTTTTAACAGTGGTGATTTCCACCCAGACATACAGATCATGAAATTTATGTTTTTATTTTAGGCAAATATTTTACTATTCAGACTTTAATTTTTCTTCCCTAGAAAGGATAAACTGGAAACATAAAATAAACACTTTAAAAGCCAGATTAGGAACTTCCGGCCATGATGGAGGCACAGGTAGACACACTGTGCCTCCTTACACAACCAAAATAAGGTCAGCAACAATTTAGAAACAAGGTAACAACCAGATCTGACAGAAAATTGAACTGTATTGAAGCCACACAACCAAGGAGTTAAAATATACACATTCATCCAGACCAGTAGGAAGGGTGGGAGAGGGGTCACAGCACAAAAAGCGGTGGCACCGGGCATGTAAGGCATCCAAGATTGTGGCAGGCAGACCCTGGGTGTGCAGGCAGCTGTCCTGTGTTGCAGACCCAGCAAGGTGGCAACTGTGAAGCAAAGCACTACGCGCAAGGCAGCTGGCTGTCCAGGCAGTCCCACATTCGCACACAGATAAACCAGGCAAAATTGGGCAGTAAGACAGACTGGGCAACCCAGGGTCCCATTGCTGAGAAATAGAGCCTCAGCGCACTGATTGGAAACACCTGTGGGGGTTGAGGTGCCTGGAGCGACTCCCAGCCGAACAGGAGAGTTCATTGGAGAGACCCACTGGGTCCTAGAACATGCGCAATCCCACCAACAAGGGAATTAGCACCAGAAAGGCCCAGTTAGCTTGGGGGAAGTGACAGAAGGGACTGAAATCCGACACAGCAGAGCAAGCGCTATTGTCCCCCCTCTCAGACCCTGCCCACACATACAGCCTCAACCCAGCGACTGGGTTGACCTACCCTGGTGAACACCTAAAGCTCTGACCCTCACTGCTTAATAGGTGCAACAAGACCAAAAAAATGGCCCAAACGGAAGAACAGATCAAAGCCCCACAGCAAATACAACAAAGCAACCAAGAAATAGCTAGCCTATCAGATGCACAGTTCAAAGCACTGGTGATCAGGGTGCTCACAGAATTGGTTGAATTTGGTCGCAAAATAGATGAAAAAATGAAGGCTACACTAAGTGAAAAGAAGGAAAATGCACAGGGAACCAATAACAATTGGAAGAAACCAGGGACTCAAGTCAATGGAGTGAACCAGAAGGAAGAAAGAAACAACCAAAAAGAAAAGAATGGAGAAATAAGAATTCAAAAAAATGAAGAGAGGCTTAGGAACCTCCAAGACATCTTGAAATGTTCCAGCATCCGAATTATAGGGATACCAGAAGGGAAAGAGGAAGAGCAACAAATGGAAAACTTATTTGAACAAATAATAAAGGAGAACTTCCCCATTCTGGCAAAGGAAATAGACTTCCAGGAAGTCCAGGAAGCTCAGAGGGTCCCAAAGAAGTTGGACCCAAGAAGGAACACACCAAGGCAAATCATAATTACAGCAGCCAAGGTAAAAATAAAGGAGAGAATCCTAGAAGCAGCAAGAGATAAGGGGACAGTAACCTACAAAGGAGTTCCTTTCAGATATTCATCTGATTTCTCAAAAGAGACCTTGCAGGCAAGAAGGAGCTGGAAAGAAGTATTCCCAGTCATGAAAGGCAAGGACCTACATCCAACATTGCTCTATCCAGCAAAGCTTTCATTTAGAATGGAAGGGCAGTTAAAGTGCTTCTCAGATAAGGTCAAGTTAAAGAAAGGAGTTCATCACCACCAAGCCCTTATTTTATGAAATGTTAAAGGGACTTATTTAAGGAAAAGAAGATAAGAAAAAGAAGATAAAGAACATGTATAGTAAAATGACAGCAAACTCACAATTATTAACAACCACACCTAAAACAAAAACAAAAAACAAACTAAGCAAACAACTAGAACAGGAACAGAACCACAGAAATAGAGATCACATGGATGATTAGCAACAGGGGAGTGGGAAGAGGAGAAGGGGAAAATGTACAGAGAATAAGTAGTATAGATGGTAGGTAGAAAATAGACAGGGGGAAGGCAAGAATAGTATGGGAAATGTAGAAGCTAAAGAGCTTATGACACATGGACATGAGCTAAAGGTGGGGAATGTGGGAGAAAAAGGGTGTGCAGGGTAGAGAGGAATGAAGGGGGAAATGGGACAACTGTAATAGCATAAGCAATAAAATAGATTTTTTTCAAAAGCTAGAATAGATTTTAAAATATGAAGAGCATTGTAGAGGATTAATGGAATAAAATTAATTTTGGGACTAATCAGTGAAAATTAGATAGAATTTTCCAGGCATAGAGATGGCCCTTCCATTTTGTACTTACCTACCTCCACCCTGAGAACATATTCTTCTGTTACAAATTCATCTTTATAAAAATAGTGTGAGTAGACAGCTCACACTATTTGTAACATAAGGATCTTCCAATTAATATCCTCAGAACTGATCTTTCTTTAGATTTGCATTACATACTTGATGAAAAGGCATGTATATTATTTACCTAAATTCTATTTTCATTTTTTACTTTTATTTTTTTATCTTCACCCGAGAGTATGTTTATTGATTTTATATAGAGAGAAACATTGATCGGTCACCTCCCATTTGCTTCTACCAGGGATGGAAACCACAACTAGGTATGTGCCCTGACTGGGAATTGAACCCGCAACCTTTTGGTGAATGAGATGATGCTCCAACCAACTGAGCCCCCTGGCCAGGGCTATGTAAATACTTTTGAAAATATAATTTTAATCATAGCCCAAAAAGAAACTCTTATTTTTATTTTAGAAATTTTAGCCATTGTAAGGAGAAATTTATTTGTATGTTAGCCAAATGCCAAGTTTCTGTTGGCAAAATTACATTGCAGAAAATTATAAAATACTAAAAAGACAGAGGATAAAATAAAGACTAATAATTTTAAATACATTACTCAAACCATTTCCTGGAAGAATATCTGGCTATTGCGATCTAAGCTCACTTCTATAACTCTCTTTTCTCATAGCTCTTGAAACGCTGTAACAAGGAAGAGGAACACCTTTTGGAAGCACAAAACAAAAAACTGGTAGAAGACCAGGAAAAACTGAAAACTGAATTAAAGAAGACTTCAGATGGTAACTTTGTGTGCATGTACCAAAGTAGAAAGAGCATGGTATTTTATGCCGTTACACTTCACTGTTTTCCCTAAAACAAATCTAATGGCTAAATGTTCTTCTGGCTGAAATACCATGAGCGACCTATTTATAAATTCCTGCTCAAATATGAAGATAAAACATTGTTTCAGCCAAGAGAAACATGCTGTGTTATACAGAAAAACATGTAGGTGTTTCAGATCTGTGTTGTAAATACAGATGTTCCTACCTTAGCAAAAGAGCTATGTTCCTGAAAAGTTGCTTGTAAATACGTTACTGGAAATAAATCACATTCTTCCATCACAGTAGATTGCTCCTTTGGAAGAAGTGATCACAGGGGGATTGTTTTGGTTATAAGAAATTATATTGCTAATCTCAAGCCTTAATATTTACTATCTGCCAGATAAAAAGAAAGCATTCCTTGAAAGAGATGGGTAGGCATAGAGTAAGAAAAATCTGATGATGAAAAAGTTGAGAATTTGAATGTCTCATTCCAAAATACATTGCAATGAGCACTTGTGGTAGGGCATCCTAACTTCATTTCCCTGAGGGGAGCTATTTCTTCCACATTATTTTGTTTTTTAAAAGATAGTTCTGATAGTATTTTAATCTTCTTAGTCAAATAAATTATTATTGCCTACAGTCACATAGCACAGAAAAGTAGATATCCCAAGTCCAAAGTCATCCCAGGAAACTCTGTAAAAAAAGGTCTGTGGCTGGACCCCAGTCAAAATTTCTGCATGTAATAGATACTCCTTGATGTTGTCCAGGCACTAGGGAACTTCTCTATCAGAGTTAAAATACTGATCAATGCATAGACCTCCAATTTTAAGTCTCTTTTATTACTTTATATTGAAGGTAAATTTGAGAATGTTCAGTAACTGAATCAAGGACCTACTTTAGGCCATTTGTAAATTTAGATTTTTTAAATAGGCCTCCATATAATAGAGGTTCTCTATAATACAACTTACAAATTGATTATCTATTTACATTGTTTGGATAGACTTAACTTCAAGATGTATTTGAATTTGAGATGGAAAGTATGAATATAAAAGCTAATTCTGAAAAACAAAAATTAATAGGATATTTCATGCAATGTAAAAAATTTTAGTCACTTTTTTACTTCTCATTGAAAGTGAAAAAAGTAAATCAGAAAATTGTTTAGAGTTAGTAAGTTAAAAAATAAGTTACTCTTCTAGACAAGGTGGTATATTATGTGGTAGGTATAATATAGCTCATAATTCAAAATCTTGTCATAGTTATACTGTAGACTCTTCTACAATTCCAAAAGATTTGGAATATGATTAAGAAGTTTTTTTTTTAAAGATTTTATTGACTTGTTTTTAGAGAGGGAGAGAAAGGGTGAAAGAGAGGGAGAGAAACATCAATGTGTGGTTGCCTCTCATATGCCCCAACAGGGAACCTGGCCTGCAACCCAGGCATGTGCCCTGACCAGGAATCAAACTAGCCACCCTTTGGTTCACATGCCAGCACTCAGTCCACTGAGCCACACCTGCTAGGGCAATCAAGAGGTTTTAATATTTGTATAAAAATAAATTTAGTAATCACCTACTTTCTACATTAGACATTTCAGAAATGTGTTCTTTTTTTTCCCAACGCAAAATATTGCTGCTGATCCTTCAGAAGAAGGCAAGAGACTATTTTCAAAATACTTTTGCTTAATTTTAAAATATTGGTTCAAAATCTTGCTTTCTTTTTTTCACATCTGCAAATGATCCTTTTTCTTATGTTGTAATCAGGGTGGTGGGAAAACCAAGGACAGACAAGAATAGGTTGTGTGCCATGCTACACCTCTTAACCCTGGCCAGTTTCTTCATTCTTTGCCTTTCAAAAATTCCAACTCTGAGATATTTTGAGCTTTAACTTCACAAGTCTGGAATATAACTCTTGAAGCTCAATATTATTTTAGATTAACACAAAGAAACTCAGTATTTCTTTAACAGACAATTCAAATGCTTGGAGAAAATGGACTTTTGGATAATATAGGCATGGTGTTTCCTATCTGATAACAAAAGATGCCAGCCTCTGTGTTTGAAGTGTAGACTGCAAAGCTACTTTCAAAGTGAATCAGTGTTGAGGTAAAAGCAGATTTTACCTGTTTGAGTATGTCCTGTTTGGTTCCTGCAAGGTGTGTAGTATTTTATGAGTACATTTTATTTACCCAAAATTATTATTTTAGATAACATTATTAATGACCTTGAGAATATCAACTTTCAGTTCTAAAGGAAATATATCCTAGGCTACATTCTCTTGACCTACAGCAGTCAAATTTATTATGGTAAGAACTAAGAAATTACATAAACAAATAGTACAAGATTTGGATAAATTTAGCAGCACAATGCTTTGCACATAGTACCATTCAAAAATATTCACTGATTTCTAAAGATTGAGGGTATTTATGCTGACAGTGCTTAAGAAATGTTTCAGAAAGTTCTTTTATACTTGAAAATTGAGTAGAAAAGCAATGTGGTTTATTTTTTATAGTGGTAAATAGAGTATTTGCCATGTGATTTGTCTTACCCTTGGTGTTTCTTTAAATGAAACATTTTCTCCAAAGTGTTTAAGTAGAAATGAAACATAAACACAAGTATTTATTTTAGCTGGTTAGCCCCAAATTGGAAAACTGACATTCTGAAGGCAGGTATTAAAAGCACTCTATCAGACCTGACTGGGTAGCTCAGTTGATTAGAGCATCGTCCCAATACACCAGGGTTGTGGGTTCAGTCGCCAGTCAGGGCACATACAGGAATCAACCAGTAAATACATAAATAAGTGGAACAACAAATTGATGTTTGTCTGTCTGTCTCTCCTTCCCTCCCTCCCTCTTCCTCTTTTCCCCTTTCCCTCTCTCTCTAAACCAAAACAAAAAAGCAGAAAAAAAAAGAACACACTACAGTAGTACCAAGCTCCATCAATTTTTAACAACCAACTCAGATTTCACCCAGAATTCGTAAATTACCATGCTTCAGTGCAGCAATATGACCCTAGTGATCCAAAAGGGTGTTCATGTCCCAAAACACCCAATTTACACTCAGGATTAAGTCAGGTGTAAGGACCTGCCAGATCTGTCATTTTTAATGATCTGTTAACAATAAATCAATGTCCCAGTGTGTGGAGTAATTGGGAAAGGGCACGACCATGAAAAATGAGAACTTAAGTTTTGAAGAATTTACAAAGCTCACGGCTTTCATAATAAAAATAGATCTTGTATGTAGTAGAAAACCTTCTGATATTCAAGGAGATTGACTTCAAAGGAGTCTTTCGGGATAGCCACTGTATTTATTCTTATAAACAAATACCTTCTCAGTATTATTCTTATTAGAGGAGGCAATAGGTACCATTTAATCATTGCATGTATCCAGGCAGTGGTAAAAGTAAATCTGATTTTAAAAGTGAACTACATGTGGAAATGTCTCCTCCTCATTCCTTTAGGAGCAGGAATATGTCCATAACATGTTTCATAACAGAGTTCTTAGGTCAGCAATCTTATAATAGGAGTTGAGTAGTAGCATTTGTCTCCTGCAAAAAGGTCCCTGGTTGGAGGTGTGTGGGAGGCAACTGATCAATGTTTCCTTCACAGGTCAGTGTTTCTCTCCCTCTCTCTCTCTCCCCTCCTTCCCCTCTCTCTAAAAGCAAATAAATGTAAAAAATAAGCATCTGCTTATATAGCCCCAAGTAATGTAATTAAGCAAAGTGACTATCAGGAACTATTTTTATTGTTGGCTTTTGACTCTTAAAATTATATTTATTTTTTATGAGAAAAAACTTTTCACTGTAACCTCTCTTCTCCTAGAATTAATTCAGTATGTGGTTGACCTAACCCTATTCCTCAGTTTCATGCAGTCTTAGAATCATAAAGACAGAGCCTGGCATATTTATTCATCCATAGACCAAGTGTGTTATATATGGAATGGGGCCACAAATCTTAAATGTTTAACTCCCTTGGATGGGACATCTGGAGGGTGAGCAGAGGAGACAGTATATGCCAGTAAACATAACCACTTCTCATTATTGTTTTTAAAGATTTTATTATTTTTAGAGAGAGGAGAAGGGAGAGAGAGAGGGAGAGAAACATCAATGTGTGGTTGCCTTTTGCGCACCCCCTACTGGGGACCCGGCCCACAACCCAGGCATGTGCTCCAACTGAGAATTGAACCAGAGACCCTTTGGTTTGCAGCGGAGGGGTTCAATCCACTGAGCCACACCAGCCAGGGCAGTTTCTCATTACTTTTATAGTGTGGTTATTTGTTTAGAACATTCGTTGGAATCATAGATATGGAATGATAAAACTTTACAGGAAAGGGCCATGTTTTCCACTTTTCAGTAACTCTCTTCTTTTGGTAGAACATATCATCTAATGTTTTCCTGAGAAATAATACATGAAAGGTGAATACTTTGAAGACATGAATGTCTAAGAATCATTCTTTTCTGAAAATCATTATTATTATTTTAGCCTCACCATTGATTGCAAAATCTTTAACCCTAGGAATTTGAAGGCTGTGCTTCATTATCTTCTGGCCTGTGTTATTTCTGTTGACATGGCCAGAGTCATTATTCTAGTCTCTGACCCTTTTTGTATATAACCTGTTATGTTTTGCTCTGCTCCCTGGAAAGTTGTAGAATCTTCTGTCTGTCCCCAGGGTTATGAAATTTCACCTAAAGAGATTTTAGGAAGCATGCAGAATCAATAAGATTTGGGGAATGAGGGAAAGTAAAAGTTTAAGATGACTGCAAGTTTCTAACCTGGTTGACTAGGTAGGTGACACTTTTAACTAAGATTGGTACCAAAGGAGGAGTGGAGTGCTTTCATTTATTTGGGGGAGAGGGGAAGCAGAAGTAATGTATTTGATTATAAATATACTGAGTTGAAGGAGTCATTAGGATATCCTAGTTAAAAATACCCAAAGAACAGTTGAAGCTTGAAAGAAAGGTAGTCTCAATATGAAGTCTAAACCATCATA